GGGCTCTGTTGTTATAAGGGCCACTTTGCTTTCTTTTTAATTAAGGAAATGATTGCCATCTGTTAAGAGCTCATTGTTGATGGTGTAGTTTGAGCAGAGGAGTCCAGTCAAGTCTTCTCTGCTGGTTCAGCGCTGGACATAACCACCCAATTATCATAATGCAACACTGTTTATTTTTTATTCAATGGCCGCCATGAGCCAGACACACTGACCTGGTGACAGCGGACATGTGTGGACCTATATACGTCTCTGGTCTGGACTAGTGCTATGTGCTGATGAGATCTTCTTTACATTCTTTATTTTCACAAAGTATGAGCAAAAAATACAAATGAAAATGTTGTTACTTATTTTGTTTTTCATCAAATGGAAATGGCCTCTTATTCAGTCATTTTAAACGTTTGTCAGTAGCCTGGTCATCTGCTGCTACTGTGAGAGGAAATTTAATTTCCCTTTCTGTGAAGCATGTTTAATAAAAGGTTTGCTCCAGAGGCAGCTGCCTCTTGACCTTTGCTTCCACCTGTTTTGGCCCTGCATGGCCTGCCTCATGTCAATCACCTCATAACATTGACAACACCACTTTACAGGGCGTTAATTGCTACATTCATTACTCAGCGTCCTGGCTAATAATCCTAGACAGCTTGTAACATGCTAACTTTAAAACACTGGTGCTCAATGCTATCTCTACTACTGCTACTGAACAAAAGCTACTGTGAGCGTGTGCCTCACACGCCTCAAACCGAAACAGCCCTGGGAATTTCAAATGAACAAAACACTGATTCACAAGCTCCAGTGGAGATCTTTGCTCTATTTGCAGAGAAGGAACAATCTGGTGGACAACAACCACTAACAACAGAAGCCTTGTTTCATAACGAACAACATTCACAACTAAAATCATCATAAAGTTAGTATAATTCGCACATTCCTTATCACATGTAGTGAGGCCTCGGCAGACCAAACCCTGACCTGTTGTGTAAATCCATGCTTTCGCTCATCCATGAAGAGACACAAGGCCATGACCCCTTTTATTCTCTCCAACACTGGAATGTATTTTACAGCAGCACCATTAATTGTCAAAGCACCAAGAGACCATAAACATCCATATGGTGCCACTTGATGAAGTGAGGATCTGGGGACATTATTTTAAATCATTTTATTACTAAATTTTAATTACATGTACAATGTATTCAGCCTGAAATGTCAATGGTGATAAACTCAGTAGATTTGCCAATACAGCTCAAAGCCAGGGCCTTATCTTGTTGCTGAATGTTAAGCAATAACATCCTTAGTCAGGGAAAGTGTTGCTTACTTTGGAAGAAATAGCATCCCTAGCTCTGCGTGCGTAGTTGAAGTTTATACATTTAGCAATCAATTTAATCAAAATGTATATTTCTCTACTGCAAAGAACCACGTCTACAATTAAATAAAGTTTTAGAGAATTAAAAAATAACAACGCATGAAGTGGAGACCATTTCCACTCGGCCCTGGCTCAGCTCTGACCCGTGCTCCCACTGAAAGGCCTTTTCATAAGTGACAGCATGAATCAGACGCATAATTTGGAGAAAGCCGCTGACAGAAAATCAGTTAGGAAAATATTTAGATCTTCGTGCTCCCCAGAATGTGTCGCGTGTTCGAAATATACGAACTGCACATGCGTGATCCAGGATTAGGGTTGCCAACCGTCCCTTGAAATACGGAATTGTCCCGTATTATAGAAAAACTATGTGCGTCCCGTATTGAACTGATACGGGACGGCTTTTGTCCCGTATTTTCAGAGCCACCTCAAATGCATCACTCACTCACTGCATGTCACACACACACAGTAATAATCACAGTTGAAGCATCTACCTTTCGGCCAATCAGTGTCAAAGGGGCGTAGGCTTGATCTCAGACGTTGGTTTAATGTTGACAGGCGCCAGCGTGGGCCGTGCCCGCAGCACCATCACGTCAGAAGTTTGGTAAAGTAGCGTCATTTTCCCAAATTCGGACTTCCGCGGTCAATAGCTCACGAAAGCTACTTTGTTAAACAAAAGTAATTGTGCTAAAATGATCATCTCTATGTTTTACGAATTCAATGCGCTGTTTTAATGCAGAGAAATCCTCTGAATCCAATGCACTGCAAGCGCCGAGAAAAGCACTTAGGGACCGTCAACAAATATCCAGACCAGCTTTGTAAACGAACAATAGCTTTTACTGAAGCCACAAACCTGCACAAAACTCAGACAATATAAATAATGATGACTACTACATGAACTAGTAGATGAACTACTACAGACTGATTTGTGAGTTTTTAATGAATACATATGTTTTTCTTTTTTTTATCTGCTTTTACAGAAATTGGTCTTTACTGTAACATTCATAAATAATGTATGTTACAGTATTTGTCTTTTTTATATTTTTTATTTTTTTTATATTACTAATAAGAATGCATTAAGTCCTTAACCAGCCAGAGTTCCACCTATTTATTCAATTTCATTTTTGACTAAGGATTTTTTTTTTATATGTAGTCAATAAATTACAATCTAAAAACTGTGATTGTGAAATTCCATGATTACTGTGTAGACTGAAATTAGGACTAAAAAGTGCTCAACCCGATCCACCCAAATGGTGTCCCTTATTTTTTTGTTCTCAAGTTGGCAACCCTATCCAGGATGGGAGCGAGAATGGTCTGAGGCATCATGAACAATGGAACAATGACATGCTGAATCGACAAAAAACATGTAATCTGCAATATTTGAGTGAAAATGAAATGATTGGGCGTTTGTGTTTAATAATTGAGACGATCAAACAGTTATTCTCACAATCACTAATGCAATGAAATAACTGGAAAATTCTTGATTCAGACTGAATCAAATGAGTTAATCTCTCTGTTGCTCTTTATTAATATTGTTAGCTACTTTTAGAACTTTAAAACTAATGTATTACTATTGCTGTCTGTAGGCATCTTTATCATTTATTGAACAGGTATTTTTTTGTATTTGTATTTACTTTATCTCCATTAGCTGTAACAATTACAGCTATTATTCCTGGAGTCAGTCCAGCAAATGCTGCACATTTGTATGTGTCTTCTGATTATATACTTCCCAATAATTTAATCATCATTTATATACAGTATAACCAATTCATATTAAACGTTGTTTAAAATCAGGGGAGAATATGGAATTACAAGATGAAGTGGAACAAAATATCAATTATAGTCATTTAAAAGGTATCCAATTGAAAGTATGCAATCGGTTTTACGGTATTCAATATAAGAGGCAAGAATACAAAAATGTCTTTGGGACTAAACATAATTGAAAACAAATGTAAAAGATAGAAATCAGACAGATTTCAAACAACTCAAGTAATCTGCAGAAGAAATGCCCATTTGAGCTAATAACGCAACAAGCAACATTTTAAAGCTATTAGCCTCATTTATTTTCAAAGAGTAGCCAACAACAAGCTGATTAGGTCACTATTGCACCACCCTGGTTTCAATGCTCAGGCTCAGAGAACATTTCTATGTTGGCTCAAGCCAAGGAGAAAATGTGCACTGGTAGATTGGATAATAACAGCCCCAATCTGATTCAATCCAATCTTGCTCCACTTATGTGGTGAATTTAACACAGAATGTTGGTCATTTAGGTTTATTCAACTGAGAGTGGTAGTTTGAGGTTGTGTTCTGTAATAAACTGAGGTCAGCGACGTGTTGAAGAGCTGCACTTGTTATTGAAAATGGCTTATATTGCTTACAGTGTGGTATCAAGTTGGTTCACTCTATGTATTTCTGAATCTGAGAATTCCTCTGAGAAAATCCTATAATTAGAGAAGACAGAGCAGGAAGTTTATTCAGGTGGGCCTTTAGACAACCACATCTACTGTACTTTCTTTATCCTCAGAGCCATAAACAAAGAGCTTGAAATTGAAGTAGGCCCATCCTCTACAGAGCGTGTTTAAAATAATTCAAAGAGTAGAAAAGTTACTAATAAGCATTAAACATTTACTGGACTTCAGTGGAACCACAGTCCTGTCATTATCACTATTATTATTTATTAAAGAATATTTTCTTGTTAAATATGATAATGTCCATTGAGGTGATATTTTGCGGTCAAATGTTGAATTCATTTCCAACAATGTATGAACAATATAATCTAGAAGCTGGAGTCTATTATCTTAACTTTATTTTATTATGAATGAAATGTACTGTCCATCAAGTATTGAACTACTATTGATTCACGTTCACTGAACTGACAGGTCAGTTTAACTGCATTGTAAAACAAAGGCAGTGTATATCTAACATGATGCTCATACAAGTTAGTGATTTTATTTTGTTCAAGCTTGGAGAACCAATTTTAGTTTGTGCACATTTTGACACAACTGCCAGTTACGGTGGACTAATACTGCCCTCTGTGGGTGACACAAGAAACTACAACAATACACTTCGTAAAAATATATGTCTGTAAGACAAAAATAGGATTTATTAAGATCTAAATGTTGACATTTATGTATATAGAATGGAGCTGACTTTAGGGGTTTTAGGGAGACAGTAGAGCAACAACTAAGTAGTTACTAGAACATTCATGGTTTCACTGCATTTATAAATACTTTGTTGTAAGTCATATCTGTACATTCTACCCTCTTTAAAAGGACAAACTTATCCTAAACAGGGATTTCCAAATAGATTATCTAATGTATCTCTTTCAACACAAAGAATGTAACATTGTACGTCTTTACTGGAGGATCTGCTCCTATGGGACTTGTGTCATACTCCACACTGTGTGATTTGTAGATGAGAACATTTGGCTTAGATGCAGGTTATAAAAACAGAAAACCCTCTTCAGCTGTCATTTGATTTTCTGTGTGATTTCAAGCTAACTGTTGTGTTATTAATCTCTGATGTTTGACTTTGAGATTGTGTAAACTGTATTAAAACATATGGATTAAACAAGCAACTCTTTATAGTAAAACATAATATCACTGTGAAAGACCAAAGTTTCTTCGAGGCAATAGCTATGAATGTTATTTTATCGGGCAAGACATAGATTTAGGAGCTCCCACTTACCTCTGCACTCCAAGCCAATTGACAACCATCTTCTACCATCTTCAAGACGACGGCATGATACAAAGAAGCTGACGATTAAAAAGGCAATAGTACAATTATTACAAATTGTCTAAATCAGTAAAAAAAAAAAATCATGCCATGGAAGTCATGTGACATGTAATGACCTAAGAATGGTCTTCACCAGAACTTTAATGCTTAGGTCCTTCCTTTACAAGACTTCCTTGTGTGGCTCATATATTGTTTCGGGGTCCCTGGATTGTTTAAACTTTTTTGAGCTTTTCCCGATTCAACCACTCAAATTTTGACTGATTTGAAAGACCAAATAATAATAATAATAATAAAAAATACCATAATATTGAAATATAATATAATAATTAAAATAATATTTTGTTTGAATAATTATTTAATAATTCAATAATTATGTAAGTAGAAAGTACAAGCCAACTGACCTCACATACAAAATTGAGTTACAACAATAACAGATTTTGGTTTTATTACTATTTTAAGGCTTATAGTAGTCTATACTCCCATAAAGGCCCAACTTTAGATTTAGTTTGTTCATTTATTTATTTTTTTCAATCCTCACTTGTTGTCTGGTTGCAAAACTAATTCTGGCTAATGTTCTGGCTATAATTCAATTGTTTGACAATCCCAGATTTGATTGATTTCACGTTAGTTTATCTTGAGGATAGAAATACCTGTTGGATTATCAATTCCAAATCGCAAATATGTTTTGACTATAATTGACCTTAGCAAAACTGAGGCCCTTTGCTGTTGAATAAGGACACACAAATACATTAATTATAGCTCATCCTTAATGCACCTTATGCTCAGTCTATGCGGACATGAGTGGTGGCCCCCAGGAGTCTTCCAGAGAATACAGGGGAGGCCATTGCACTTCCTTCCACACATAAATCTCCCGTCAGTGCTCACAGGATACAGGGGAAACATACAGATACACTCCCCACACTCCAACAATCTTTTCAAACAAACAAGGACATATTCACACCTGTTAGCGCTGGCATCTGAGACGGACCACTTCCCGTCAGCCGTCAGCGCGGGGCCATGTGGGCCACGGAGGCGGCTGCGGGAAAGCAAACACCCGTCAACAACAGCGCCCTCTCTGCGCTTCTGATGATTAGCACAAGCTGACCTGAAAAACAAGGGAAAGTCTTATTTTGTGACATCATTGGCGAAGACAGTCAACGTCAGTATGATTATAGCATAATAAATAAATATGAGGTATGCTTTTTGGAATTAAAATGTGAAGTAATATCTAAGATGAGAATATGGTGAAACGGGTGAAACAAGTGTAAAAGGATGAACCACATTCATGCAAGCAGCCTGCCCTTTCTCTATGCTACCACCAGAGGGACAAGTGTAATCTTTGTTTTTTTTTCAAATCTAAAAATTACCAGCTGCAAACATGGCCATGAGAATTAATAGTTACTTAATGTAACTTAAGTTCTACGAATAGGTGCGTAGTCCCTTAGGACTTCGCTAGTGGGATATCACTCGTGACCCCCAGGTCACACGCCAGAGAGATCAAATAATTTGCTCCAATCACCAGCCACCTTCCTCTATAAATGCCCCTGCACAAGGCCGCACCCCCTCTTGAACTCTGCCAAGCCGGGCTGGCCTGATGGGCTTGTAGCTAAGGGACTACGCACCTATTCGTAGAACTTAAGTTACATTAGGTAACTATTAATTCTACGTCATGGTGCTACGTCCCTTAGGACTTCGCTAGTGGGACACAACGCGGAGGCCGTAGGAAAATGTACTCCCAGCAGGCCAGCGAAGGGTGATTGGAGCTCCGCCCGAGCAAGACCCTCACAACGTGAGAGGACTCAGGGCAGAAGAAACAAGCGTGTTACGGGGCCACTCCTACCAAGGATACCCCCACGTAACACAAGCCGTAGGTCATCCGTAGTCACAGGACGCCTCTCCCAAGAGCTCCTGACGTGGACTACCAGACCGACCAAACACACAAAAATGTACCGCACCTGTAGGATGCCTCTCCCAAGAGCTCCTGCACCAGGGCGGAAATAAACCGAAGGCCCCCTCAGGGGAGGGACCCAACGGTCTAACTCAGTCCGCTGCACTCAGCACGGAATGGGCCACCGACCGGTCCGACACATCCGAAAGATAAGACCGGACGAAAGAGGAGGACGACGCCCAAGAAGCCGCACGGCAGACGTCCTCGACCGACGCCCCCCTGAGAAGGGCCGTAGAGGCCGCCATCCCACGCGTGGAATGCGACCTGAAACCCACCGGGGGGGCCAGACCCTGCGTCTGATACGCCCGCCACACAGCCGTGGCGACCCAATGCGCCAGCCGCTGAGCCGACAGCGGGGCGCCCCTGTTCTTGGGGCCCAGACACACAAACAGCTGACCACCCAACCTGAATGACGAAGTCATGGCCAGGTAATGCCTCAGCATTCTGACAGGACACAGAAGGTGCTGCCGCTCCTCCTCGGGGGAGGCATGCGGCGGCGGATGGAAAGCCCTAATCCTGATGACTCTCATCCTAAAGGCCGACGTGATGACCTTGGGGAGAAAAGCCGGATTGGGCCACAATTCCACCATGCCGTCGTCCTCTCCAAAGGACAGGCAAGACGCATGGACGGAGAGCGCACACAAATCGCCCGCCCTCGTAGCAGACGCCAACGCCAGCAAGAGGGCCGTCTTAAAGGCGATACACTCGGGACTTGCCTCCGCCGCCGGTTCAAAAGGCGGACCCGACAGCCCCCTAAGGACCACCCTGAGGTCCCAAATCGGAGGCGTTCTCTGGAGCGGGGGCCTCCTCCTGCGCGCCCCCCGCAGAAAACGTTTAACCAACGGATGAGAACGGGCTGTGAACCCCCCGAATCCGTCGTGACCCGAAGTAATGGCTGCCGCGAACACCGCCAAGGTAGCGACAGCCCTCCCCTTGTCGAAGAGCTCCTGTAGGAATCCCACGACCCCCTCCAGCGGGCAACACCTGGGATCCCAGGAACGGGAATCGCACCAGACACTGAATAGCCTCCACCTCGTGGTGTAGGCCCTCACAGTGGACGGCGCCCTCGCTCCCTGAATGGTCTCCACCACCGCAGGGGGAAGACCCAGGTCTACGAGGCTCCGCCTCTCAGCCTCCAAACCCGGAGCCTGCGGCCGATTATCGGGCGTGAAAACAGGGCTCCTCCCCCCTGGACTAGAGCCCCCGGCTCGTCCGGGAGGGCCCAGGGCTCCATCACCGACATGCCCCTGAGGAAGGGGAACCACCGGGCATGCGGACTGTCCGGAGCCACCAGGATCACCGACCTCCTCTCCTGTTCGATCCTCCGCAGCAGGACCGGCAGGAGACGCACCGGTGGGAAAGCGTACAGCAGGCCGCCTGGCCAGGGGTAATGAGACAGAGCGTCCACGCCTAAGGGCGAACCAGGACGGGCACTGTGCGTTCTCTGCACTGGCGAAAAGGTCGACTGCTGGACGGCCGAACCTCCGCCAGATCTCCGCAGCTACCCGCGGGGCCAGGCCCCACTCGTCCTGGAGCGGGCCCCCCCTGGACATCCTGTCGGCCCCCACGTTCCGGACCCCCGGGACGTGGCGCGCCCTGAGAGACAGGAGGTGAAGCGCCGCCCACAGCAGCGTCACTGTCGCCATGCGATGGAGAGCGGGGGACCTGGTGCCCCCCTGCCTGTTCAGATAGGAGACCACTGTGGTGTTGTCTGAGCGAACCATCACGTGTCTCCCCTGCAGCTGAGGAGCAAAGTGCAGCAGTACCCTGTGTACTGCCTCCATCTCCACAGGTTGATGTGACGGGTTGAGTCCGACCAGCAGCCTCCTACAGAGCTCTGGCCGAGGACCCCGCCCCATCCTTCGAGCGACGCGTCCGTGAACACCTCCACGTGAGACACGGCGCAGGCTAGAGTCACTCCGTCCCGCAATAGACCCGGAGTGAGCCAGAACCTGATGTCCGAAGCTGCCACTTGGGGAACCCAGATCAGCCTCCCCCCGTCCCGGGAGGGGTGAAGCCTGAGGCGCGAGAACCACCTCTGAAAATTTCTCATGTGGAGCAGGCCTAGCCGCACCACAGCATGAGCCGCCGCCATCATTCCCAGCAGGGACCTGAGGCGCCGAGCGGGGACTCTGGGGCCCGCCAGAACCTCCCGGGCCAGACGGGTAATATTCATCCGTCTGTCCACGGACCATGCAGCACGGAATGTCACAGAGTCTAGCTGCAGGCCGAGATAAATCATGCGTTGGGCTGGCTGCAGCTTGCTCTTCTCCCTGTTCACCACAAAGCCCAGACGCTGTTTGTGGGACAGGACCCAGTGCGTGTGGCTCAGGGCCACTTCCCTGGATGAAGCCAGAATTAACCAGTCGTCTATGTAGGTTAAAATTCTTACCCCTGCGCGTTTGAGCGGCTCCAGAGCTGCTTCCACACATTTGGAAAAAGTCCGAGGCGCGAGTGCGTACCCGAAGGGTAGACGGCAGTACTCGTAATTCCTCTCTCCCACTGCGAAGCGCAGAAACCTCCTGTGTTCTGGCACTATGGGCACGTGGAAGTACGCATCTGTCAGGTCTATGGATGTCATCCAGTCTCCCTCCCTGACACACTCGAGGAACTGCCTTGTGGACAGCATCCGAAACTGCCGTTTGGAAATGCACTCGTTTAACACGCGCAGATCCAGAATGGGACGCACCCCGCCTGACTTCTTTGGCACTAAGAAGTAAGGGGAGTACAGCCCCCTGGTGGCGTCCTGCGGGTCTACCTCCACTGCTGCGCCTCGACTCAGCAGAGAGGAGACCTCCGCTTGTAGTGCCTCTATCGATCCCCGTACCTGAGAGCGCAGTACGCTCTCAGGTACGGACTCGGTACAGCCGAGTCATCCCACGTGACTCGGCTGCTGTGCCCCCCCCTGGCTCTTGCCTCATGGAGGGGGGGGCGAGCCCCTGGAGTGGGAAACCCCGTGTTAGCCTCGTAGCTCGGAGATGCTAACACGCGTTCGGCCGAAGCACACACCTTATTACTCACCAGATCCCTCCGCCTGCCTCTCTGGGAGCATGAACCCGTGAATCGGAGCTCGTGGCCCGCGTAGCGCGCTGCACGCCCTTCTCTGGGGGCTGCAGGCCTAGCGGCGCCACGTTATGTGCTCGAAAAGTACCACAAACAGATTTCAGATCATTTGACATGTTACATACCCCCAAATGAGACTCAGACAGCGAGAACTGATGAAATGGTCGGCTTTTATTGAACGAATTCTTACCGCCCCGACCTCCTCTGCCATAGGGAGGTCGGCGGTGGGTACGTTGGTCCCGCGAGCCTCCCGTGTGCCTGTCTGGACCTGGGGGCCTCGTCGCTGGGGGACGATGAGCCACGGAGCGTGGATATGGCCCGGGGCGCCTGCCGGGCGAGCGCTCCCTGCCTCTGTCTCGGCTCCGCGCTGGAGGGCGGGCCTCGCGCCTCGTTGCTAAATGCTGGGCCAGGCTAGCAGAGTCCTTAGTTGCGGTGTCCAGCCTAGTTATCAGCGTCTGCATCTCCGGACCGAAGAGCGACGTCTGGGAGATGGGCAGGTCCAGCAGCTGCCTCTTCTCCGCCTCTCTGATGTTAGCAAGCCCAAGCCAGAGGTGCCTGGCCCCGACTTGTGCTGGTGCCATGGTGCGGCCGCCATCGACAGCTAGCGCCTGGCACATGCGCAGGATCGCCGCTGAAGTGGTCCTCGCCTGAGATAAGGTGTCTCCACTGAGCGCCTGGCCAGAAGAGAGCGACCTATCCAGGGCCCCGGTGATGAAGGCCATGTTGTTCGCCACAGCGACGACCTGTGCCGCATTGGCGTAACATCTGTCGTGCATCGCCAAAGACATCCTGTCCCGCTCGGAGGGAAGGAGAGGTCTGGTGCCGGGCCACACGGATGCGGAGGGGTGCAGGGCCACTCGAACCGAATCCTCGATGTCCGGGACCCCGCCGGTCCAGGACCAGTCCTGCACGTTGCAGTACATGCCGTACCCCAAAGCGGGCCTCTTGGCCGCTAGGGGCTTTGGCCACTCACGTGTTGCGTAATGGACGATCGGGTCCATCCGCGTGCACAACATAGGGCTGCGTCCTCCTCCTCCCTCGAGTGGTGGCGTAACCAGAGGTGAAGTCCTCCACCCTCTGGTTCGGTTGCGGTGGCAGGGGCGCATCCATGATGGCCGCCGCCGTGGAGTAGAGCCCAGGCATGTGGTCCAGCGGGAAGCGGTCCGGCTCCGGGTTGGACACCACCTCGTCCAGCGTGAGGAGAGAGCCGACCTCCGACACCTCTCCGTCCTCGCAGTCACCCCACTCCGCGGGCACGGGTGGAAGGTCGAGAGGGGCCCAGTCAATCACAGACTCCTCGTCCTGAGAGGAGTCCGGATGGGGCGCTGTAGCGGCGAAGAACGCGCGCCTGCGTTCACTCTCCTCCCTGGGGAGAGCGAGACACGAGGCGCAGGTGGCGCTCAACGCCGCATGGCCCGAACCCAGGCACACGAAGCAGCTGGAGTGCTGGTCCTTGCGCTGGAGCTTGACCCGACAAGTCGAGCAACGACGACGTCCGACGCCGGATGGCGAAGGGGAACTCGGACGAGCATCAGAAGACATCTTTTCCTCAGGTGAACGGTAGATCTCAATCGGCGCCAGAGTGAAAGAGGGGGTGCGGCCTTGTGCAGGGGCATTTATAGAGGAAGGTGGCTGGTGATTGGAGCAAATTATTTGATCTCTCTGGCGTGTGACCTGGGGGTCACGAGTGATATCCCACTAGCGAAGTCCTAAGGGACGTAGCACCATGACGTAGAACATCATTTCAGCAGAGGAATGATATTTGTGGCAATAGTTTTGTGTTTGTAGATTGTAGATTTATAAATCTAGATTTGTGCCAAAAGTTGAAGCTCTGAGCTCGGTCTGAACCAGGTCAGTTGTCCTGGATCTTTTCTAAAGTAGACCTACACTTTTCATTCACTTAATTATCGTATTCAAAATTTGTGTATGCTTTTTTGCAGTTAATTTTCAAAAGGATTTTTGTTTTTGTTTTTTTGAAGTATGTTGAATAGTAGTGGCTCTGCACTTGCCCAAGGACACAACGACAGTAGACATCAGTGGGAGTCATAAAGTAAATCTTGTAGTGGGTTCGAATCCACAACCTTGCTCTACCAACCGAGCCACTGTCGCCCCGCATACATTGTATTGCATTGTATTTTAATTGTATTCCTATTTTTTTATATATATGGACCAATTTAATTTGAGTCTGAAATAAAGTATATAATGTATAGACCTATATACAAATTTATCATTGTCAAGTCAACGAATCGAAAAAATAATAGACTACTAAAACAATCTAGAATGCACACCTTATGTGTTATATTGAGGAGGTTGTGTGGATCCAAAGTCGGTCAATTCACTTCCCTTGAGTAGAGCGGCAGTTTGGGCCTTAGCCTTAGCATTATGAAAACTCATTCACACAACACAGACTGAGCTTGGCATCATTACTAAAATCACTCATTAGCATACATTCTCACAAGTAACTGTCAGTTATGCAAAATGGCATGTCATTGGCTGTACACATTTGCATAGATTTGCATATGCACAGCTAAAGCACATGCAAATCTTCAATAATGAATAATGAACTGTCTGACCTCTCTCGTTCTCTTTTGCAACAACAAAACAAAGGAATGATATGGAAGAATATGAAAATCTAAAACAAACCTCGTTATTATTAAATGTTTCTATACTCAGTCGTTAAAATATGCCATATGAATCTGCAAGCGTAAAGGAAAATACAAAAATAATCTGTAGTGTTACATTTTTGGGCACAAACACATGCATGTAGAGGAAACCAGAGACCAACTAGACTGTTTTGAGAAAGAGGAACTAGTCACAGGCTTTTTATTACATTAGTTATTCAAAGTTATAGGTATAGGTTATACAAAGTTATAGGCTTTAAGATTATACAGTATGGAAATTAAAATAGAATAACTCAACACGTTCAATGGTAAAATGACAACTATTATTATTAGTAGATTGAGGTCAGATGAGATCACAACATTCAAGACATTCATATAGTATTTCATTTGCTGACATGGGTTATGATGTCAAAAAATGTACTTAAAAAATGGATACCAATAAAATAGATAAAAATGCTCTACAATAAAATCATCCTGCACAGGCTGATGATTGTGGTCTAACTTAAGTTAAATTGTGTTATCTTTCTCAAAGGTGTATGGTCAAGTCTAGGGAGTTAGTTACAAAAAATTATGAAATTTGACACATACACATTCAGATATTTCTCAAAAGTGTGTTACGTTTGGATATTGTTATGGAAACAATAATTTTTGCAACTTTTTTAAATTATTGAAGATAAGACACTTTATAAGTAATTATAAGTAATCGTTATTAATATGGCGCTTTTCACAGACCATAGTCATAAAACACATTTGTCTCTCACTCCATACAGAGATTTTAGTGATAGGGGAAACTGGAGCACCCAGAGGATACCTACACAGACGCAGGGAGAACATGCAAACTCCACTCAGAAAGGCCCTGTTCCGACCGGGATTCAAACCCAGGACATTGTTGCTGGGAAGAGTGCTAGGTTTCAGCTGGCCGTGTGTCACAGCTCAAACACTTTTGTTATAACTCACCCATAAAAGTGGCATCATTTTGCCAAAGAACTAGGTTAATTATTTGATTCCGGCAACTCATCAGGTACAAAAAAAATGGTTAAAAAATTGCAGCCCGAGAAACTATAATCTTTATGGGAAGCTTTTGCTGTGAGACAATCGCCAGTGCACTGTGACCCTCCTTCACCTGCCCATGCGTGGACCAGACACCTGCAGATTGATGGGAGCAAAAGGAGGGGAGTCTGTGTGCTAAAGTCATTACAAAGCAACGCAAAACAGCCACAAGCGGAGACCGACTTCACCCGAGGTTAGTTTTGCTTCTTTGTCATCCCAAGACACCTCCTTTTCAGATTTATAGCTGTTATTCTTGAGATCATTGATATAAAATATGTTAGAGATTTACACAGCGAGGTAAAGTTTGGGTTGATGTCAAGGTCTGATGTAATACTCCAGCCTGGAAGAACTTCTGAGTCTCAGGTCTAACCCACAGGTTTTCAAAAGATCAAGTGGGTCCAAAAAACGTTTGAAAAGACAAATGGCCTGGATTTTGAGGGGAATCTCAAACTGACATTGGCGGTGTGTGGGATGAGCCCATGATTTATCTGAGGAAATCTGAAACGCAATCTTGTACCTGAAGAACAATTTTACGTTGAATATACTAACCATAAATGTTTGTACGACAGGTTTTAATGATTTTTTTATTTGGATCTATTATAGTGGAACGACACACTGTATATGGTTCACAACAATAAAATCACAGCTTGGAAAGAAATATGGGAGAATATATTGAAATTTACAGGAAGTACATTTGAGTATTGTTGATATCACACTAGGGATAGACAGAACTCATCCTAAAGTTTATTTACAATACATTTATTACAAAAAAATACATTATAAAAAGATAAAAATAAGACATTCTTGGTACATTGAAGGAGTTTTGGCCCAGTATAACACAAGGTTGTTAGGTAATACGTTATAAGCATGATGTCATATTTCACAACCAGGAAGTAAAATGATCATTCCAGAAAAATGATCACATGGGATACTTGTTGTTTATTATGACAGAAGTGTACAACCAGTATGTGCCATCGCCACCTCCAATCACCACTAATCATTCTCTCACTCACCAGACTAGGAAACATGACAATTTTGCACTTAACAGCTGCAAGACATCTCACTGCATGAGGTCTTCCCAGAGGTCTCCCATCACAGTACTTTCCAGGCCCTGCACTGCTCACCAGCTAAGCGCTTTTGAGAGGATCAGGCTTCACATGCAGGTTTATTGCCCCAACACTCACCTTTCATTTGGACTTGTTTGGCACAACAACAAATACATATCTAGTTTTCCATTATAACTTTTGTCATTTAAAACTGGTGAAAACAAGCATGTATTTCGGGCAGAATGCATTTGATTTATTTTCAATTATTTATTTATTAAAGGGACAGTGCATATTAATATACATTATACATGTACTGTAAATATGCCATAATTAGCCTAAGGGTTATTTTCCATCTGTAGTCCCTGGACAGTTGTTATGTGTCCTCCATTGGTGGATGTTGTTACCGTGTACCCCTGGTCAGTGCTGCTAGCCTTGGCTTGTATCAGTGAGATAAGAGGACATTAGAATGTGCAAGATTGTAGAAGTGCACCGTGTGTGGACACTGCCAACACTCACGAAACACCAGAGGCAATTTATATCATGACAACAGTTTTGCTCAGTTCTGTTTATTTCTATATAGATGATTACACGTGGCATGATGTGTAACCTGGGAGACACATATTAAAAGGGGGGGAAAAAAACTTATTACAATAATATATTTTATACTATACCCATTATAATAATATACAATATAAGTTACTAGATGCTTGAAGTAAGTTGTATCTTGATTATTAAACAACATTAAAATACAACTTTCCAATGGAACACTTTTCTTTGTTTAAATAGAACCATCCACCCTCTGCAGCTTCCTGATTGGTCGAAATAAGTTCAAATCCTTAAGGCCCCTTGTCTTTGGTTTAACTATTCTCCTCTCGCAAATTCTACAGGTAAATATAAATTATTCTAAAAAGAAATCTATACAATTTAAAAGATTGAAAATAATATTTTTTATGTGGGTTTTTCTTTGTTGTTGTTGTTGCTGTTGTTTTTCTATGGGTTTTATGAAGCATCTTTGAATGTCAAAAAAGTGCTTTGTAAGAATCCCTAAATTATTGATTAGGGATTTCTTCAAGCCACAAACCCACGCCACGCTTATATATTCTCTGCTATGGGGCCCTAAATGAAAGAGTGGTGCAGAGGAGTGTTTGCTTACATAGTGCGTAGGTGAAAGGTTAGTATGATCCTTCCTCCCTCCGCTGATCTCTGGAGGGTATCGGACATGTGGAGGCTGTGTTCAGTCTCCATCTGCCACACAGTGGAAATTAAGCAAGTTGAGACGGGATGTGATCGATCAATGCTCAAACTAATGTCAAAAACAGCTACTTATTCTAGAAACTAATCCTATATTTACAGTCTATTTATAGAACCCAGGGAGAGGACAAGTGCCAATTAAAATCTATGGGAAATAATGTTGAGAAAGAAAATGTACAAATGTTTTCCCAGATTGCTAAGTGATTTAGATCAAACCCACAATATTAATCATAGGTCTTTTAATGGTTTAAAATTAATTTGACCATGGTTGATATTTTCTAACAACCTGTAAATGGTGAGAAGGCTGATGGGGCCGTCTCGTTTTCTAGTCTACTGCCCCCTTGTGGAGCTGAAAATAAATGTACCTACAGTAAACAGAAGAGCCCCGTGTATTACTTTCAAAATCCTTTTTTTTAAAGGATTAGTGTTGCAAATTAAACTGGATTAAGAGGTCTTCAAATAAATACATGTCTCCAATGGTCTCTAAAGTATTTGTTTTGTCCGTTTCTGTATGTCTATTTAATGTCGATGTTGTGTTCCTAATCAGTGTTCCTCAACCTTTCCGAGCTGTTGCACACACTTTTCATTGATTCTTTTGTTTTTTATGGCACACACCATATCATAGAGTCATGTAAAACATTTTATGTTTTATTATACTATGAATCTTGATTGCCCTTTAACGTGTCAAATATTATTGTGAATAACAATAAGACAAAGATGCAAACAATAAATGTACTCATACAATCAGAACAAAAATAACATACAATTAACATTGGTCCACATAATATAAGTAGTCTAAAAGGTAAGACACATAATGACAATGTTACAAATATGGCAATGCGATTTAGGTCACACATAATTTTAACCTGAGTTTCATATTATTGATTATTGTCACAAGAAGGTTGTTGAGAACAAAGTGCAATTTTTAAGACTTCAGTGAAAAAACGCGGTCTAAAACTTGACTCGACAATATATTTTGCCACAAAACAACCTTGCTGACTCATCATGATAGTGCACATGACCTGAGGATGAAGGAAATCCAGGATTTACTTTCCTAATTTCTAAATGTGCGCTCTTGTTTGAAGCTGACACAACATTTCCAAGCTTCAACATACTGAGACAAACAGATTTCCTCTGGGAACAGCTCTTCTAGTTCAGGAGGAACATCCATGTCTTTGCGTTCCATGTAGGACACCAGAGTCTCTTTTAGACTAGAGGAAAAGGAACATTTACATTTATTACGTTGAAATAAATTACATGTAGGGCAATATCATCTTACCCCCACTCAGGTTTGAAGGTGTCTGTAGCCTTAGGTTTGTTCAGCATGAGTACAAGGAACTCATGCATCTCCAGCAAAAAAGTTTCGGCGCTATTTTTAGAAAAGAATCCAGCCAGCAGTCCACGCTCATCCACACTGAGAACCTGCTTGTACTCCTCTGGAATGTGTTCGAATGGATCCTACAACAATCAATTACACATTAAAACCCCCATAGAGACTTATGAGCCGTAAAGTATTTTTTACCCTCTTAAGTTTTAGAAGGCCTTGTGATTTAAGAGACCCAAGCAGCTGCCATAATGCCGCACAATGTTTTAGAGAGCACATACTTAAGGCCTGTGTGAAATATGTACTTCAGTTCAATTAAAAACTCAATCCATATGTGTCATATGAACACATTATAACAGGTTTCAAACCTTGAGGATATGTGGAGGGGTTTGAGTTGCCATTTTCAGCACATCCTCCAGGTAACAAGACAACTGCATACTGGCATCTCCTCCAGTCATGGCTAAAAACCCAAGAGCAATTTCCACTGCGGACAAAGCTTCGCACACCTCACTGTAAGAGTCTAGCTCTGTGCCCACAGCACACTGGATGAGAGTTTGAAGGGGTTCCTGTAACAAATAAATATATTTATATATATATATTTATTCAACTTAATGGCGTTTTAAAAGAGCAGCCTTTTCTTACTTGTTTAATCTTTTCATTGACATCCTTAAGTATATTCTCATAGTCACGGTCATGTCTGTGCACCAAAGTAGGAATGCCCTATGCACAAAATATTATCATTTTCACCTTGTATATTCAACACATTTCTATTCTTTCATTTGATTTGATTTCTGCTCACATTCAGCGTGATGAGAGGTTTGCCCAGCAGAAAGCGTGACACTATTTGCTGCTGGATTTTAGGTAGGTCATACTCGTGCAGTGTTTCTTGACCTTTCTCAATGCTGTACTGAGTGTTGGACAAAACCAGGGGCATGAGGTCTTTGTCCAGCTCGTACCGGATCACGTGAAGGTCAGTCAGATCTACTGGACTGACTTTATAACTGAGTAAAACACATTATCCACAATATCAAAGCCTTGTTCAAACACTTGTTAACTGTGACATGCAGGGTTCACCTGGTGTCCTCTCCAGTGAGCCTGTCCACACTGTAAAGCAAGTCATTCTGCAGAAAGATGAGATAACTGACGAGGGCTGTGGAGCAGAGCCCCGGGCCTCGTCGACTGGGCAACAGCACTCGAAAGTCACTGCGGCGGTCCAAGTCCTTCTCACAGAAACTAGGTGGAAGCTTTATGTCACCTGAAAAACAAAACATAAAAACTGGGTCAACTAGTATATAGTAGAATATACACTATACATATACTATATATGTAGGTACTAGTATATACAGTATGTATATATACTAGTGCTATAGTGCTATATACTACTTCAGCAGTCGTCTTACCATTAGTTGCCAAGAACACTCTTAGTTCATTCCAAGTATTCAACACAATTTTGATATGTTTCTCGTACCAGGCCTTTAGAGAAACTGCAAAAAGTATATGAAAAGTCATATTTACTAACAAACTGTGTATAACCCATATTTTACAAACATTTCCCTTATTTATTTGTGCAAGTTTGACAGGATAGTTAAGTAGTAGAATACCTGACTGCTGGCCTTCCAGAAAATCAGCAATAGTACCAGACAGTTCAGTTATGTTTTGAAACTTTTTGACAAGATGTTTTTGAAGAGTGAGAATGTCAGGAAGGAATTTCACCAGCCTGTACTCGGCTTCCTGAAAAAAAAAAAATTGTATTGGGCTTTTGAATGAATATTTTATACTGTAGTATTCAGTAGTATTTGTCGTTGATTCCTTACCCTATGCAAAAATGTCCACAGAAATGGCAATGCTTCTTTGCCACCATTTTGCTCTAAAATGTGTGTGAGCCCAAAGAGAGACACCTTCTCTCTGCTGCTCCACACAGTGGAACAATGGATCAAAGAGTTTTTAGGTAAAGAGTCCAAAAACAGCTGAGGGTCCCCAAACATGACTTTCATGATTGGACTGGCAGAAATGCGGTCATCAGAACGAATGAGTGCGTTCACCTGCTTCAGCTGTCTCTCCATGTTCTAAGCACACAAAATAAGTTAGAACAATAAATAAAATTCTATTGAAGTAATGTTTTACTAAGACATTCCATTCAACAGACCTTCAATAGAGGAGCTATTATGTTGCTCATCTTAGTTTCCCAATTATTTCTAGCTTTATTGGTGGAGAGCTGATTATCATAGTCAACAGGCCCTGAATGAAAATACAAGATTAATTGTTTCTATTAGTCTCAATTGGACAAATTGGAAATAAAAGGCCAAAGCAAAAATACACACATAACTCTATAAATAAATATTCCTAAAAAAAATATATTCTTATGATGAAATACATACAGGCATGTTCATGTGGAGGATGGAGCAGGCTGCTGATGATCAAATGTACAGTGATGACTGCATCATCTGCTCCTTTTCCAAGGGACTTAGTCAGATGTTTTTGATCCTCTGTCAGATGAGCAAAGAGAAACTTTCCTGGGTCAACGACCCGGGGCTTGATCATAGTCGAGATCATCTGTATACAAGAACAAGAATTATTTGTAAATGTACGTACGTATGTTTTCACTTTGTGGATGAATTTTAGTTGTATATAAATAAGTGGGGCAGTATTACTTATGGATGTAGTTATTGGAGCTGCAGTAGTTCGCTCAAATACAAAATACAAAAGCCTCAACTTCCGTCCACTGCATAAGTCAGTTTGATGCTGTTCTTTCGATCAATCCTCCCTCCCCTTTTTCTATTTTTATTTTAAACCATTACTATTTATTCTATTACAAGTGGAGTCTTGAATCCAGAATGTGTGTCTGCATCATCATCTCATTCAATACATTTATCTAATTGTATCTTGTGCTTCTGAATAATGATTAGTACCTGTGCGTCATTGCAGAGACCAAACATCATGGCCATGTGTGTGATCATTCGGACGACTGCAAAGGGAACAGGGGAAAGGCTCTTTGTGTCCAACATGTCAGGACTGTTTCTGCGTCCAGGGTCACCAAGGATGTGCCCACTCTGAGTACGGTCACCCCTGTAAGATACCACAATAAAATAACACTTTCAGTGCCTATCCGATTGTGTCTATACGTATGTGTTGAACTATTGCACATTTTGGGATGTCGCAACCACTAACATTACAATTTTATTTGGGATTTTTTAATGAAAGACTTCTAAACAACTGAAGTGAAAGATGATGATGTTAGCACTGATGAGGCCAATGCTCTGTAGGAGCTGGAGATATCCACAGCTCTCCTGGGGAAACTGTACATGGGGCATAACATAATTGGTGGTGAAAAGTTCAAGCTGTATAGAAACTTTCGCCTGGCACTCAATGCATGGGTTTATTTTATTTTATTTTATTTTGCATAAAAGTGTTTATAAGTCTTACTGCAACGGGGCAATCGAAAACCCTTGTGCTGGAATATGATTAATTCCACCTATATCTGCTCCACAGTCCACACAACGACTTCTTTCCATGGGTTGACCACACTAACAGAAAGACTATTAGATCATTCTTCTCATATACAATACAATTTTAAATAAAAAATGTACATACTTCACCAATAGTACATGGGTGTCCATTTGGACAAACTACAAAAAGCAAATTATACATAAGTATCTCAAGTCTTTCATTTATATCTTTGGTTTGTCAGTTACAGTACTCACGGTACCACTGCAAGCCCTGTCCCATTGCTTGTTGTGCCATTGTGATTTTGTCTTCCGGCATACTGGGTAAAAACGCCAACTAAAACAACAAGAAAAATCTTAACGAGATTGCTGTGTCACTCCTAAACTTGATCCAACCCGTGTTTACCTGCATGGTCCCAGGTGGGAGAGCCAGCTGCTTCAAAGGTCCCAAAATGCCCTGGTTTCCACAGAGAAGCACAGCAGCCAGATGGACAGTGAGTTCTATGAGGACGCTCTGAGTCCTGGAGAGCGCAGGCTGGAGAGTCAAAGGCCCAAGCTGGTTTGTAACAAGAGCCTGAGCAAAAGCCTTTAATTCTGGGGAAGTTAGGACTTTAGATTGCCCAATATAGCCCATCCATAGGTTTATTTGCTAAAATAAAACACAAATTAATGAAGTTGATATTAATGTTCATCATGAAGTGTATGATTTTCAAGTTTGTTTTACCGCAGGTTTGGGATGAAGGTTTGTACTGGGTTGTTTGTACCATGTGGTGACTTCTCTGTACAGAGCAAGAAGCAGCAAAACTGCTCTGCTTTGATTTACACATCTGACCCTCTAAAGACAACAGAACCATAAATAATTAGAAAACCACTCATTAATGTCATAATCTGACAAATTATTGCATAATAATAGTTTCACCTCACAGGTCCCATCCAGGTCAACCATGGTGCCATCCATAACCACCTTTGCAACAGCATTTCGGATGGTTTGGTAGTCAGGACCACACACAAGAAAGAGGTCCATTGGTGCCTCATCAGCCTTTCGCAATAAAGAAGTTCATTTAAATGTAATGTATTCACCATTTAAAAAAATAACAAAAATAATAACCTTTTCCAGAATTTCCTTGGGGAAAATCCAGCTCGTTTGATGAACTTTCAGGAGGTTCTGGACATGTGCCACTCCATGCTGAGTTCCAAGTTTCCGAATTAAATAAACTCGGTACCAGTCGTTCTTACTTTGCTGACACAAGTTCTTTACACTTTTAAGGAAGGCATCCACTGCATTGTGTGCTTGAGATTCTGCAGTCATAAAAATAACCAATCAGCACAGAAACCATGTGCGGCTGCAATGATGGAGAGAACCGCACTTGTCAGGGTGGTGTCTTCAATAATGAGACCAGCCGCCGTGTCCAGGTTAAGTCGGACACGTGCGACCAGCTGCAGGCTTTTTACGGTGGCCGAACAGAGGATTTGCAGGGGATCTGCAGACAGGTCCTGCAGGAAGATGCTTTCATCCTCCAAGCACAGTTTCTCAAACATGGAGTCCTGTAAGAACGAACATCTCACATGAAAGAAAGACATTTTAACAAAATAAAATGTATTGTAAGATCCTGTAATAATTAAGCTGCTCAGACTGTGTTAAAAAGTAATAGAAAATGGTTTGAATTAGTTTTGTCTTGTTTTTGTGCTTCTTAGATCAAAAATAGAAATACCTCAAAACAGTTTATGTAGAGCGAGTACAGTTCAGTCTTCTCTGCATCGTCCAAGAGGTTGCTCTCTTCTACTGCATGAAGATAATGCTTCAAGTACTTCTCTATTTTATCAAAGCTTAATACACAAAGGATAATACTTACAAATAGAGTAACATTGCATTTCTATATTTACAAATATGCGCCACATTACCTGTACTTCAATAGTAATTTAAGCACGACTGAACGAACCACGGGGCTTTTGTCAAGAGATTCATCAAACGGGGAGAACTCTTTTGTGACAATAACTCTCTGTCTTTGTGCTGAAGAAAACAAAGACAAAGTCATTCTTAAAGCTCCAAAACAGACAGAGCTATCATCCAGAACCACAAGTTATTTTATCTTTATGTTACCTCCAGGTATCAACGCAGGATTAGCCTCGTGCATGAGAAATGACAGCAGATCACTGACCACCTCTGAACTTGGCGGGGAATTATCTTTGAAACACATAGATGACACCAACTCCACAAAGAAAGCATTGCAGCGCCTTCTAAACTGTGCATGTGTGTTTATTTGAACCCTACAAACAAAACATGATGTTGAAACAAGGTCAAACATATAAACAGGAAATTATTATTTCTAACCAACCTAATATCGTTGGAAGGAACTATTGCAAAGTCATCGTTGACCTGCTGCATACAGTATGGACAGTACATCTGCCCCGGGACAAGCCACTGTTTGATACAGACCAAACAATAAATGTGTTGACACGGGAGGCAGATGGGGTCCTGAGGGTCTCCAATACACACTGAACACCGAGGGAGACCAAACCTGTAAAATATTGTTGCTATTATTTATTATTATTATGGGTTAATATTGCAACTTCTTTTTACCTGAAGATGCATTCAACAGCTCCTTCTTTGCAGGTTTTTAGTAAACCAATGACAGTTTCAAACGCATCTTTAGTTTTCATGTTGGTGTTCTTTTCCAACATCTTAACATTTAAATGGCAACAAAAAGTATAAAACTTTATTGATCTTAATTGAAAATGGAAGAATTGTATCTGCAAAAATAAAACTGACAAACCTGCCAAAGTCTCTGTGTGTTCTGTAAAACTGAGGGGACCAGTTTTTGGTCTAGTTCCTCAATACCCACCAACATGTGCTCCACAAATAAAGAAAGACAAAAGATCCGATTCCAAGCATTCCTGATCAAAACACACACAAAGGTTTCAAAATAAATTGTAGCACAGGTCCATTTACACACATTGATGCCTTACAGCACTCTGCTGGCAAAGGTTTTGCTTCTCTCTCCGTAGAGTTGGACACAGTCCTCAGCACAAACCAGTTCAATGGGAACCTGGAGTTGATGAACCTGTCTGAGCCAAGTCTGTCTCTGGTCGTCTGTGTCCAGAGCTGTTGGCTCCAAATTTTCCACACAGGCAAAAGCAGCATACACATCCAGTATCTTAAAGGAAATAACAGAACACCTTACATGATATCATTCTATCAGAGGGCTCCCTAAAAGGACGATTTACCATTTCAGGTCCATCTCTGGAACTTGGATTTCTTAAGAGGTCTCCTGTGACTTGTGGTTTAATGCAGATAATCCTAGAGAGGTTCTGCAGTCTGTTCTTGAACTCGTGATAAGCAGCGTGGATCCAGGACAGAGACGTGGGTCTGTCTGTGGCTTCAAGCTTTATCTTCAGTTCATTCACACAGCTGTTAAGAGCTGCACTCAGGAGCTAATGATGAGTGCACATAATGAGGATATTACAGTCACACAACAACAAATGTGAAATGAGACAAAGTGAAAAACCTGCATCTCTTCTTCACAGGATACATTCATGGTTAATGAGATATAATCCTGTAAATATCGGTGGTAGAATTCCGTCTGTGTTTCCTGGTCTTCTTTTCCAATGAAACGCCCCAATGGTGTGTTCCAGAAGAAGTCATCAAACTGCAGCTGTGTTTGCCCTAATGATCACCAGAAATCACCATTTCATGATATTATGACACATTTCATAACTGAAACAGCAGACTTTACCTTCGTTCTGGAGAGCGTGAACCCACATGTCCTCCAGGTAGTCTCTGATCCTCCAGCTAAAGGGCATGCTGCAGCCAACTCTCATCTTTGGAGTGATGTAGTTTTGGACCAGAACTGTTCTGCTCTCAGAACTAACACCAAATATTTGTGATAAATTATGAACCCACAATATTTTTCAAACTACAGTAGCATGTCTTACTTGATTTGTAGAAGCTTGTCATTTCCAAAAATGTCCAACCACAGCTTTTTAAGAGGAAGTCCACAGTTTTTATCCAACAGTAAATTCAGGTTTTGGTCACGGTCACTGATTGCAACAAGGTGAGCCAACATAGGTATTACCACCGCCTGAATACGGTTCCATAAGGTGTTCCTGCCATTTCCAAAAAAAGAAAACCTTTATTTTATTTTTCTATAACACTTCTTTCTAATCGGTTCACCTCTGGACTGTCACCCTAACGTGGTCGGGAAGTTTGAGTACTCGGATGATTGTGGGAGCTATTTTTTCTCGGGATCTATGCCCCTGGTAGAGCCTCCCATGGCAAACAGGTCTTGGGTCTTGAGTCAGACAAAGCCACCATGGATAGCACAAGATTGAGAACCGTGACGTTGCCCAGGATGGCTCTGCCAGGGCCCCACCATGAAGCCAGGTCTGGGGTTGGGGCTTGTAAGCGAGTGTCTGGTGGCTGGGCTAGCTCTCCCCACCACCCACAGAGGGATCCATGGGAGCGGGAAGCAGAGAGAATTGGGTGGAAGTCGAAGGCGGAGACCTCAACGAGCCTGGCTGTTGGGATACGGAACGTCACCTCTCTGGGGGGGAATGAGCCTGAGTTCCTGGGCGAGGTTGAGAGATACCGACGAGAGATGGTCTGCCTCACCTCTACACACAGCTTGGGCTCTGGAACCCAACTCCTTGAGAGGATTTGGACGCTTCACTTTTCTGGCGTTTCTCCTGGGGAGAGGTGGCAAGCGGGGGTGGAAATACTCATTGCCCCCATCTCAGGAGTCACATGTTGGAGTTCTCCCTGGTGGGGTACTGGATTGTGCACTGACAGGGGAGGTTTTCTCCTGGGGGACTTCAACACCCATGTGGGAAACGCCATTGACAATTGAGGGGGGTGATCGGGAAGAACAGTGTTCAGTTGTTGGACTTCTGTGCTACCCCCGGTTTGTCCATCACAAACACCATGTTTGACCACTAGTGCACATGGCACCAGACACCCTAAGCTGGAGGTCGATAATCAACTGACCTTTGGCGACGTGTCTCGAAATGGCTAGTGTTTCATAGTGTATCACCTAAATTATTATTACATACAGTATGTGCTTAGAATGGACTGTGAAAAAGGAAGAAGAGCAAAATAAGGGACATTTAACTTCCTGTTTGACTGACCTGAAGGTTCCTCCTTCTTGCAGTGCATCAATGTTGGAGGCCTCCCTCATGACCCAGTTGTTTGACCAAATGGTGCTGTCGACATGAGTGGCCAATAATGTATGAAGATGCCTCTTAACGATACAGCTAAATTCTTCTGTAAAAAAATATTTAAAAAATTGCATAATATATTGAAATAGATGTGTTTGTCTATATTAGTGCTAGCTGATCAGTGAGGTACCTTTAATTTCATCATCATCATCATCGAGAAGAGTTAGCAGAATCTCCACCCTGAGAGTGCTACGAAAGCCGGTCTCCATCTGATCCCTGAGCATTCCGACTGCCCTTTGCACACAGCTACGCAACAGTGTAGTTGTGTCAAGGACACAAAAACGCTGTAGCAGAACAGTTTACCACAGGTTAAATATATAAAGTGCATTTTGTCTTGTGTTTAAGGCTTAGAAGATTCTTTTAATAAGATCAAAAATTTTAAAGTGAAATAGAGAGAAAGTTTTAGAAGAATGTCTTGAAATCTCAACTTCATATAATCTCAGTTAAGTATCTCACACCACCCCTGGCGTTCCACACCCGACTTTGAGAACCACTGTTTGATAGAGACTAGTATGTGCTGTGCTTGTTTTTAAATAGTCTTTCACAGAGTCAAATATTTTGTGTTTGTGTATCTGTCTGTCTGTGTCTCTTTTTCCTTTTTTGAAGCTCCCAAAAGAAAGTCGGACCACACATTAAGGTGCAGTATACAGTAAATAACAATTAAAAGAATTAATTCTTACATTTTCATTCTTCTCAGAGTCTGTGTTCTTCTTTTCGGTCTCCACATATATGTCATCATTGACCTCCAAGGCTGGGGGAAAGACATAAAGAACATCAGCCATTTGTCAACCGACCGTGAAGAATTACAAAATGCTTTAGTGAAAAGTACCTTCAGGTTGATTTCTGTTGTTTTCAAACAACTGACTGATTGTCATTCTTTGCAGGAGTTTTATGTCAGAAATAATTTCATTTGATTTTCTAAGGTCGTCAATGTGAACTGATTTCCAAGGTCCTATAATATAATACTTTATGAAACAGCATTGCACATTAAAACAACAAAGTAAGAAAAAAGAATCATACCTCCATAGAATCCAACATAGGACGTCCCTCCAATCATTCTAGGCAGTCTTGTAATGATGTAGACAAACACTCTCTGTCCTGGGTTCTCAAGTACCGTCTTTCTGATTTCATTTATGGATGAGTGCCTGGTAAAGGAAAGTAAAGGAGGTGGAACAAGTGTCTAAAAATGGATGAACATTGGCAGCTTACTTTGCAGATGCAATAAGATTAGCACTCTGAGAAGCTTCATCATAATCACACTGAACGATGAGTATCTTTGATTCACAATTATTTCTACCAGTTGTGAGAAAGTTTCTGTAAACAAAATGTACGTAAGCCAAATCATATAAATAATATGAATAATACAATGAGTACATTCTCTCACAAACCTGATCTTTTTTAAGAAGGAGTGCTCAGTGTCAAATTGCTGGACAGACAGAAGTTCAGCACTTAAACCATTTTGCTCCAGAGATTTTAAATCAGACGCTGTCAGAAGTCTTGAAAATGTGGTCACCTAGAGATCAAATGTATTACCGATACACAAGTAGACTAGTTTAGGTGACAGGAAAATGACCTACCTCTGTGAAGAAGGTGTTGCCAAGCTGCTCTTTCCCAGTTAGGGCAAGGATAAACTCTGATAAACAGCCATTGTGCTTCTCTTCATTGTAAACTTTGGCCAGATGATCACTCTCTCCTCTGGGAAGTTCACTGCTGTCCAAACGGACAACGGAATCCGGTGTGGCACATTTGAGGAGCACAAGTTTAGCTTCATCCAAAACTTTTTTGTCAGGGTCCATAATTTCCATTGTGTGTTTTTGAGTCTCCAGAACTTGAAGCACCACAGAAGCACATGTGTCAGAATGGTAGCCAATAAAAACCTCTGCAGGTTTGTACTCGTGTTTAGCTCCTCGATGCCTGCTCAAAGACACATATAGCTTCACCCATTTCTCCAGCTCTCCAACAATTGTCTTGTGTTCAGATTTGAGGACAGTGTGAATGTCCAGAAAATGCTTTTCCAATCTGTTGATGAGAGGAATGGGAAACTGTTTGTAAACAACTTCTCTTTCCTCAATGACAATGAGTCTAAAGTCCTTGTGAACCCTGCACTTGACTCTGTGTGTCCCCAGTCCAAGATCCACATATTTCTGTCCACCCAAGTGCACATAGTACTGATTAAGAGCATCATAAAGGCTTTCATAGAGGTTCTGCAAGTTTAGAAGGACAACGGTTTGCCCAGTCTCCATGCAAATTTTAACTCTGTTGATATTGCGACAGATTTGGGTGTATTCTTGGTCTTTTGGAAAGCTAGAGCCAAAGATAATTTCCGGTTGACCATCTTCTTTGAAGAAAGTTTGTTGAAGGAGTTGCAGAGCTGCATAGTTTTTAGTCAGTACCAGCAAGTAACGACACTCCTCTTCCTGTCCAATGGCTTGAATGTTTTCTTTCACAAACTCTATAGCGCTGATGTTCTCCAGGTTAGGAGTAATGTGCAGTTGATTTTTGAAAACAGTAACTGCATCTACATCAACTCTTCCACTGAAATTACGCAAAACCGCTTTAATAATTTCTTCTGCAGGTGGTTTCCTCTGCAATTGCTTGGCAACAGCAAAAACCATCTTAATTAGGCTGTAAAAATCACGCAAACCAAAAAAACCATTTCCTTGTTTTTGACAGATCTCCAAATAGGCTTTAGCAAATGGTTTGAACAAGTCCCTGACCATTTCTAGAACCCTTTTATCAGATGAGCATATACCCTTGGCACTCTCAACAAGTTCCCGCTCATCTGGATCACCACGGGAAACAAAAATCCCCCTGTTCATTTTTGCTGGATCCAAAGCCCAGTTGGAAATTCCGATGAATCCAACTTTTTTATGAGGCAATGGTTCGTCGTCAATGCATCCTTCCTCAAGCAATGGATGGAGAGTTTTAAGAGGCATTTTTGGAGAGTCCTCAGCTAGACCAATCTCATCAAGGACTACAACAGAAATGTACTCCTTCAAATTCTTTCCTTCCTGGAAACGTCCACACTGCTTGAATGTATTAATAATTCCCTCTGGGGTAGAGTGGGGGCTACATTGGAAAGACACCAAGTGGATCTGTTTGAGCCTTTTGTAAATGTCAGAATGAGCAGATTGGCCTTGCATTGCATCAGCCACCAAAGTCTTTGATAGAGATTTTGAGCTTCCAGGTTTTCCAACTAAAAAAAGTGGGATTCGAAGCTCAATGCAGACAACCATCATGAAAACATTTTCTTTCAGGGCATTGTTTCTTGCAATTGTGTCCCTCATTGGAACGCCTTTGAGAAGTAGATCCTGCATGATTATAATTTCTTGTTTTATCTTAATTGAAGATTCTGGAGGCAAGCTTCTGGAGATTTTCTGCCTGTATTCCTCCTTGTTCTCAAGACAGGCGTGATAACACACTCCAGTGGCCATGATTAAAGACCACAGAACAGGATCAGTACCTTCCCTGCTTTGATTAGAATCAACTTTGTCCATCTCATCAAAGAATGTGGCACGGTTGACGAAAAACCAGACAAAAGCCTGCATGCAGCGTTCCACATCTCGAAGGCTCACAAAGCTGCATTCATCTTTTCTTTGACGCATGTACTTCTGTGAGGCTGAGAGGACATTCACTATGACTTCAATATAAACAGCACTGATGTCATTATTGTGAACCACTCTTTGTACTATCTGCTGAATGTACATCTTCTCTGTGTCGTCATTTAACTGCCCAAAGTCCCACACAAGGGGGATCATGCTTGGTGGTAGGGCATGAACCCGATACACAAGCTGCCGAAGAGGAATAGAACCTAGTTTTTCATTGGTCTCCTCAGCTCGAACTCTGTATCCTAGACCCGCAGATTCTAATCTTTCAATCATCTCATCCGTGTGCTTCCGGTAGGGATTGCATGCTGCTATGATCTGAAGGCCAGAGCCTGATGCCAGACCTTCTCCTTGAACAGTCTTGTCACAAAGAACCTCCTTGATGCTGCTGATGGCCTCTGTGGTGTTTGCTTCGTCAAAAAACAGAACAGAATCAAACCCATAGTCTTGTTTATTTATAGCAGCCATGCTTTCTGCCTCTTTGACTTTTCCGTAAATTACTTTTGAGGTTGTTCCGCCGTGGACCTTGACTAACTTCATGTTCTCTGTAGCCACACCACTTTTTTGTAACTCACAGAGAAATTTGATGAGCCTCGTTTTTCCACAACCGGTCTCTCCCATTATAATAACGGGGATGCCACACCTGAAGCGCATGTGGATTGCAAGTATCTTGAGAATGTTGTCAGTAGTCAACTCATAAGTTTCATCTGGGTCCAAAGGCCATTGAATTCCAAGAACATTACACATTCGTTCAATTTTTTCTCCCCTTGGAAGCGAGTCAAAGTCGATGTCAAAAGGCACTCGCTGCAGCCGTAGGCCATCATATAGCTGTTTCGTCATAACATTTCTTTTAATGACCTTTCTTGAAGCAGGATCAATGGCATCAATGGCATTATGATCATTGGGCTGAAGGTGGAAACCTATAAAGGTCATGGACACGTGGTCATCATTAAAAAAAATGTATGGGTGAGGTTCGGTTTCCCATCTCTTTCTGATGAGGAATGGAGCCAAGTCTTCTTCTCTGACACCAGTCAGATCTATCTGGGGCCGGCCAGGACTCTGGTCAGTAATACTTAAGGATGGAGTGGCAAAATCTTTAGCCATCAAAATCATGAAATCGACAACAAATCTTTTAAATCCAACTAAAGTGTCTCCAACAAACTCAGCATTACAGAAAACAGATGTTTCACAGTCTTGAAGCTGGAGATTGAGAAACCACGCAAAGTTTCGTAATTCGGCCCAGGACGGGTTTAAGATTCCACAGTGCATGAGAAGCATCTGAAGACATTCACCATGTGAGCCTTCAACTCCATTGTAAGTGAACCTATCCAGATCGGCATGATTATGAAATCGTGTAAGATATTGATAAGGTCTCTGAATGGCAGCACTTCTGAATTCTTCATCATCCATCAATGGGTCTTCTCCATTCATTATTGTTGGGTCATCAATTTTCCTAAGCTCCAACTCCAATATCTCCTTTGGAGGTCGGCAGAAAATATTCGGCAACACATCTATGAGTGACGATTTTTCAGCCTATAAAACAAGTAATTATCAAGAAATTATGGCAAAAGGATCATTTAATGTAAGCAAAAAAGGCTTACCTTCCGTCCTGTGGTTTTTGGTCGCTCCAAAATCTCAACTACATACAACTGCTTCTCATTGCACTTCCACACCTTCCCCTCAGAGTTCATGAGATAGCGCAAAAACAACAGCTTGAAAAGAAACTCATGCAGACCATGTTGAACCTGAGGCAAGACACATCAAATGAGAGTGGAAACAAAACAAAACACACTTTTAAATTAACAATCCATTGCATCAGTGGGCCAATTGCAGCCCACTGATGCTAACACAAAGTCTATTCCTTGTTGTAAATCTCAGACCCTCTGGAATCCAGTCGCTGACTCTATTGTTATATACTGACATTTGTTTTATGATTGTGTCACAACATTCCAAACATAATGCAGCTGTGGTGTGAATCAATCAGGATGTATTATAACTAGGGCTGTCAAAATTATCGCGTTAACGCACGTTAATTAATTTTTTTCATTAATTATTATGGGACGCATGCCTATGCGTCCCATAATAACACTCAGAATGCCGCGGACACATGCGTGTGTAAGATGGGGACAGAGCAGGTAGGCCCTCTGGGAATTCAAGTTTTGAAAGAATACACGCGGGAGCGCGGGGCACTTGTTGTTTCCTGTATGAACTTTGCATGATGAGCTGCGGGCGCGACAGCGCTCTGGACAGCAGTTCCCACTTCCAGCGACTGTGATGACGGCAAACGGCGCTGCGTAATGGGATCATATCCAAGACCACGCACAGAACTATTACAGAACTATTCTCGCGTGTGCGTACCTGTCTTTGCGTAACCGATGCACACAATATGTACAGCGCTGAAGCTGGACTGCGGAGCCTCAGTCTCCTCCCAAAGCGCACTCGCTAAATTAAAGCTGAGGTACCTAATTTTCCTTTCGACTACCAGTTCATGTTAGTTGTGCCAAAAAAGTAATGCTGTGAGCAAATCAAACAGATTTAATGACATTCTGCATTTCAGACTATTTTGAAATGTCCCTCATCTGTAACAAACAATGGTTTTGGTCTGAGTCTAAACAAAAAGACAGAATGTTAATTCCATTTTATATGGATTTATTGTTATAACAAACAAATACAGTTCATATGTTCACTAAGCTGTCATTTATCTTTCCATTCAAACAACAATTTACAGAAAAATATGGCATAATTTTGCCAATAGTTTGAAATGCGATTAATTACGATTAATTAATTTTTAAGCTGTAATTAACTCGATTAAAAAAATTAATCGTTTGACAGCCCTAATTATAACCCATTTTATATTCCAGAAACCTCTGATTTAGACCAATATCTGTGGGGGGGGGGGGGGGGGGGGTCATTTTGACTCGAGGGAAGCACAAAGGTTAAAAATAAGACAGGAATACGTTTCAAGATACTTGATGCTTCGATATAAAAAATAGAAACATCCGTCATACTGTACATTATTACCGAAGCTGTGACATCCAAATGAAACACTGCGAGGGCTTTCGTCTCTGTGTTGTTCAGAAGAGACTGGAACACGGCATCCTCATCAACAGTAGGTTCAATCAAGCGAATGCAATTCATTGCTGTAGTCTTCTTGGTTGAGTGCTTTAGTTTCTGATACAGCCTCTTGATATAAAGAGATTTACCTAAAAGAAAAAAACAAACCCCACTATCACCAGCCACTTTTATGAAAACCATGTCGTCAATGAATAGTTCAAGATTACCTACCTACACCAGATCTTGTTGATGAGACAATGCCAACACACAGCCGGTCTTTGAATGCAGCAGCAGCACTGCACTGGTCTTCAGAGACAACATAGTGCTCATGCAAGTATTCCTGAACTCTTGTGAGTGGAGCCTGGGGAACCATGTGAACTTTGAACTGGCAAAAGGCAGTTGGAAGGTAAGCATGCTCCCTTTCTGAGCTGCAGAATATCACAAGTCTGTACTGATTTCTGCTTTGTATTTTAATGCGCTGAAAAAAGCTCTCGACTTTAGAGCTCACATCGTAGGTCAGCACATCTGCATACAGCAGCGAGTAGATCTTATATCCTCTGTATCCGCAACTGAAACAACGCCTGAGAAAGAGCTCTACTTGTTCATAAGGTGTAGTAGGAGTACACAGGAGCACTTCATCATGGGTTGGTAAAGACTCATTTGGGCTGCTCATGTAGGTGGAGATACAAGATGTTAAGAGGTCTGCATGCGGACAAACAATCAGGTTTGGTTTTCCAACATTTAAGCCATTCGGAAGTTCCCTGTGAACACAGGTTTGAACTCTTTCTTCTGAAATATCTTCATCGCTATCACCCTCTGCTACTTTGTTTGCAAGTATTTCCAGCAGGCGCCCAAACGTCATCAGATCAAGAACATCAGGAAGTGAACCCTTCATGTCTTTCATATAAGTGTTCCATAAGGCATCAAATTCCAGTAGCCCACTTGTTCTTTGTACTAATGGTGGTAGAAAGTCCTGTTCGCTGTTGATATCAGAATTAACATTTTCTACCCAGGTAAACGTCCGAAACTCAATATCGTCGTCAACTTCTTGTGGCCGACTAAGAATGTCATACTGAAGCTCGTGCCACACCTGCCTCAGGTCTGCAGCGGAGCAATCAGGCTTGACAAAAGAGAGCATCATCAAAGCTTGTTCATCTACATGGGACACTTTTTCTAGAGAGAGGTGACTGCAAAGGTAAACAATCTGTTCAGCTGTATAGTAATTAAGATAGTAGTGATTAGATCTTTGTTTATCTACAAAACCCATCCAGAATCCAAGACATTTCTCCATTTTTCTACATAAATCAGGAAGCTGTTTTTCAAGGTTGCCCTGAATAATCACTGCACCAAAAGCACTTCCAAGATTGAAGTCCATCATAATACTGGGGTCATGACCATTTGTGCAGCAATTGATTTGAGCTTCCCAATGTCTAAAGAGTGGATTACCGGCTGTGTACAGAGCAATGAAAGCCTCAGACAATCTCTGAACATTGTCAAACACCTGGTGAATACAAACAAACACAGATGTGTTAACTGTTGCACAATGTAAAGGTAACTTAAAGGCGTAGGTAAAATACCTCTGTGAAATAATCCACTTCATGCCGTCCTTGATCTCCTTTACCCGACATAAGCATCAGTTTGTTCTGCAGTTCTCGCAGATCCTCCAAAGAGTAGTTTCGTATATGTTGACCAGCATCATGTTCCTCTGGTATTCGGAGCTCTAGGACTTTGTCAAGACACAACTGGATGCAAAAAAATATATCAACATTGATATATTTCTACAAATACAAATACAAATATTTGAAAGTGGGATAAACCTTTTTTCCATGTTGTGCACTGATTATGTAAATCCCCTTCTGGTTAATAGATGACGCTAAAGAAAGAGATGATAGCTCCACTGAGCCATGGCTGTCTTTCACGGTTTTCAGCCATTCAAGATGACGAGCGCTGTCTCGCTTTAGAATATAAAACAAACAAAAAAACTTTATACTTTTACCTTTTAAATAATCATTTATCCAGCAAAGCATAATATCAAACCAGTTTCTTAGGCAGGTCGCAATCGTTCTCTAAAGCCCTCCAAAGCTTCTTGACCACTGTGTTGAACTTGTCAAAATCTGCATCCCGCTCCAGTTCATAAAGCAAAGGGGAGTATCCAAGAACAGCATCATGGAAACAAGCCACCCGGTCCACGTCCATGTCATTCTCCCCAGCGGAGATCGAGGCAAGGTCAACAAACACCTTCAGCTCGTTGATATCTGAGAAATAGTTATGTGACATGAGGTATTGAACTTAGGTATGTAAACTTAATTGAATGATTTGTATTTGGAATGTTACCTTCAAGAGCCTCTTTGACCCAGTGGACAAAGTTCCCCCTGAGTCCCAGCTCACGCAGACAGTCTTTACGTGTTTCGGTTATATCCACTAGATCCTTTTTGGCTTGAATCAAATCATTATCAATCTGATCAATCCGGACGCCCTCCTTTTCCTCATTCTGAATGCAAACACGTTTCAAATTATTGCATTGTAATTTCTCAATATTGGATCATGTTTGATTTGATTTGAGTGTTTCTCAGCGTTTTAAATGTAGTATCACATGTACCTAACAACATACTAAAAGATTACCAAAGTTTGACTTCATGAGAAATTTATTATGGGGTAAAAAATGCTACTTTTTCCTAAAGTGTTGACAATTTGCACAGCGCTGTGTAGTGTGTAATGTCAGTGCATTTTAGGCACGTCCAATGGATTCATGAACCCAGAAACATGTGTTGAGTCCGTCACTTAATGAAGTCAAATAATGAAAGGATTAGGTGGATTTATGTAATAGCGTGCTGATGATTCTTACGAGGTATCATAATGTGCTATAGCCACATTTATTTCCAGGGAAACAACAGGTTAATGGCCAAAATGACATGATTTCATTGTGAACATGACACTTGTCTAGTAGTCAACATTTGGTAAAGTTTTAATGTAAGACTAAGGACACCTTAGACCCATTTTGCTAGAAGTTTTCTTAGTCATGTTTTTTTAACATAAATGCACTCGCCTATAAGTACTTACAACTTGTAGGAGGTTCTTTAGAACGCTAAAGTCTCTTTGGAGGTGAAGAGTCTTTTTCACTGTCATAATGATCTTTGCTGAAGCCGCAGCCAAATGAAGCTCATGAAACTGTTCAATTTGTTGGACACGGAGTTGAAGCCACCGTTTGTCATCAGATGGATCAAGGCGGCACATTATTCCCAGGTCCTTTTCCATCTCTTCATACTTTTGCTTGTAATCTTTGAAGAGATCGTTGATCCTTTCAAGTGTAAGACTGCCATTCTTTAGAGAAAAGTAGATTATTTTGTACTCATCAAAACAACCCTGGAAAATATCTTCATAGATTCTTTCCAGTGAAATTTCCTCTTCTTCATCAGAATCTTCTTCATCCACAAAATATTTCACATGTTGTTCCCAACAGACTTGAAAGACATGACTATCTCTGAATGTGTACATATTTTCTGCCATGGATCTGGTATCTTTGTCCAAATTAAAGTAAGTGACGACACCAGCCTTGTCCGAGGATAGTTGATCCAAGAGTTGAACCTCCATGAAAGAGTTCAGGGGCATTTCCTCAATGTTAACGTGCTGTCGCTCCTTTACTTCTGCCACATCAACTATCAAAGACAATGATGACATCGATGAATGCCGTTCAAAGATAAATGCATGCAGCAATAGAGAATATACCTTTTATAACTTCTTCAAGTTTATTGCTCATTGTTACCAAAATATCCAACAGCTGCTTCTCGTGATAAACAGCATTCACTTCAGTTTGCCTGTGCTGGAAAAGCCTTTTCATTTTGGCTACTTTTTCAGTTGGAACATCTGATTATGAACAGACATACACATTTTAGCACACAACACAATTCATTTCCAGAGGCTGTAAACAAATATGTTATTCTTACTGATCTGTGATAATTCCAAAAAAGCATCTTTCTTCTCCAAAAGTATGTTGAGCAAACCAATCTTAATGTTCCCATGAGCCACTTGGTTGACAACATTGGTGAACGATGAAACAGCTATTGCAATTCTTTCACTAGCAACATCAGAGAGCTTCTCAGTCACCCCTTCCTTACCACCTACAATGATTACAAAAACAAATAAGGCAACACTCAATCAACAACAATATATTTGAAAATCAGATATTAAATACCGTAGAGCTGAAAAATGTTTTTTGAAGCAGTCCAGGTAAGGAGATGGCGCATGATTGCTTCCTCATCGTCACAGTAAGTCCCTCCACACCGTTTAGGCCATGACTTCTCAACAATGGCCGAGATTAATTTCCCAAACTTCCCACACCAGTTTAAAGAAATCCTCTCAAGAATCTTTCCTTCAGATTTTGTCTGAGATTAAAAAAAGGACAACATAAATTAGTTCTATGTCAAAAATAGGCATAATGTGAATTTTCTTGTACCTGGCATAATGCGGTTACAGCATCTAGAGCACAGACTTCAACAGAAGAAGCAACATACGGATATGACACACTTAGATTATCTATTTCCTTGCAGTAGTATTCGATCTGCTGCATTGGAGTTGCCTATGGGTACACACAAGAAATTGTGGTCATATTCCATGGAAAATGCAAATCTAAAGTGAATCAAACATCAACACTACTGTACCTGTTTATATCTGTCCTCAAAATCCTTTGTTAGTTTGTCTTTCCACACGTTAGTGAAAATGTTTTCTCTGAACTTGATGGATAAAATATTATTCCAAAACTGAAATGGAAACAAAGACATGTGGAAAAGGGGCTGTAAAAGGAAAACCTTATCCAGAAAGCATTTGTTATTTACTTCAATCTCCTTCGTATCCCTAGTAGGTAGAAGGTTGCCTCTGAAACACTGATGTATCTTTTGTCTGATTATATCCAGAGCTGTATCCAAAGTGTCTCGAAGTGACGCCGGCACACTTGCTGTTTGTGGAGTCTCCTGTGGGTAAGACTTTACATTTTATTTACTTTACCCTTATTTATGTGCTAAAAAAAGAGCCTACCAGAGATGTAGAAGAAACAAAGTCTGAGACTGAAGCAACAAGATGCACACAGGACACAAGAATGTCAGTGAAGCTCGTCCATTGTTGCATTCCTTTGCAGATTTTGTTCAATAATTTAACTGCTTCCAAAAGGCACTCTTCTCTGTACTTCTCTGTAAAGGGACTAAATGAAAAAGCATTTAGTATCTAAAACTCCAGGAATTATTTATGATCACATTTACAAAGCATTAATCACCTGAATCTATGTTCGACAAGATTCTCCTGTATGTGTGCCAGTATTCTAGAGACGTTCTATAAACGAAAAGATTTAAACAATACATACAGAACAAGAATGTATGAACCATTTACTTACTTCAAAAGTAGAATATGTGATCTCCTTTACTTTTACAGTGAAAATATGAAGGATGTCCAAAAGTTCTGGTTTTAAAGCTCTACTGCACTCCACCAGTTCACCTAAGGATATCAAGTACAACCAGGAGCGCACCACGAGAACATCAATCTCTCTTAGATGGACATGACTGGTCATCTTCTTGACAAGAGCTCTGGAAACAAACAGGCATGCGTTGAATCAGTATATTCACTTTCATGAAGTTGATAGTGTTTGAGTATAATTCTAACCTTCTATCTTGATCCATCATCTGTTGTACACGCTCCAGATTTCCAATGTCCTCCAATCCTGCCCATGTCACCAAATTCCTTGTATTAATAGAAATCAATGCATCATATGGCTTTATAATGCCTTTCAGAAGATGGACCAATGGTAGCACCAAAATCCAGTGTGGTAAGTCTCGAGACTTTGCTGCATTTATAACAGGAATCAACATATCTGTCAAACTAAACAAAGAATAATTATGTTTAAAATGCAATGAAAATTTGAATTACATGAACCAGATGTGACGCACTTGAAAATGGTGGCATCATGTGAAAACTGTTCCCAGTACTTCATAAATTCTTCTTGGTTTAGTTTTGGCAAACACAGTGTGGTACAGAGTTGACTGAGCTCGTGAGGATCCAGTGAAATATTGTATCGACGACATACACAGAGCATCACTACAGCAGCTCTGAGGGGATCTTTTACATAGAGGCGCTTCCTGTCACGGTTTCTCAGCAACTCAGGAATCATGTTTAACAGCATGAATTCTTTGAGCATTTTTTTAACCTTGAAGAAAATAACGTTTTATCTATTACCAAATAAAGTGTGAGATATTGAAAAACAAGTTAAGGGGAGACGCACCTCTTCTTTTCCAAACCCTAAAGAAGACCATTTGACTGCTTTCTTTTCAAACACAAAAGGATCAGAGTAGGTCTCACAGAACTGATTCAGCTGTGCCAGAAAGTTCTTCAAATTAACATCAGTCCAATCAGTGAGAAGATCAAAAATTGTTGCAAGCATTGCTTTTCCTGCAATTTCTCTGCCTTGAATCAAACTCCTCTTTTGTTGTGGCCACACTACACCTCTGATGGAATTAAACAATCCCTTTTCAGGTTCTGCACAGATGATGTCATCATACTGATGCCAAGCTCCTGAATGTGTAAAGTATAAAGAGCTGGTTAAGAAACTCAAAATAGAAATAACAAATACAAGCAAAAAGAACAGTTAGTTACCATCATTATTGAGAAGATTCTCTTTCACAAACAAGCATCGATTGGTCGTAACATCAGGGTTGTCAAACTTGTAGATGTATTCATATTTCATATTTTTACCCTTGTATACAACATATTTGTAGGGTATAGATTGATTTGAAGCTTCTGACTTGCTTGTCACTAATTTCCCCTCAACCAGAAACCCATGTTCTCCAAGATCACTGTATTAAAAAGGTCGATAATAGTTACTTTTTGTAATGAACATATAAGCATGAACAGATAAGCAATGATTAACATACTCTGTTGGGTGCATTTCAACTATACATTCGTCCCATGATCCAATACATTTTCCTGCCTGGATGTAGATCCAATCTTTCTTTGCATCAAATTTGAAGTCCTTTGAGAGAACTGCATGGAAATATATAACCAGCCGATCTTTCGCATCAACAATGTTCTGTTTTGGCCTAAAAATAAAAATAAAATCCATAATTACCACCGTCCAAATGACAGACAAACCATATGTGCATTACTTTTGCGGCGTTGGTTCCACTTCTGTAGTCCTTGTGCCCTCGACACTCCGCTCTTCAGTGTCTTTGCTGGGTTCAGGTGGGGCTGATGTTTGTGCTTCTGTTGAAGCCTGACTGGTCTCAGACTGTGGTCCCTCCATGTGCTCTGTGGTAGCTGGAGATGGGTCCACACTCGAGCCAGAACTTTGAGTCTATGGAAATATGAATGTTTCACTTAGTACATCAAGTTTTAAGTCTTGTCATTGCGATTATTCAACTTAAACACCCATACCTGAGAGCGTGGACCAAAAACCATCTGTTGCTCTTGATTTTGCTCGTGGTGTTTTTCGTTAATGTTCTCCAGTTGCTTTGTGTTTTTATTCTGTTTATCATTAAATTTTTTATTTGCACTTTTGTCAAGTTTCTGTTGATTGGAGCCAGATTGTTTCAGGTTTTGATCATTTTTATTTTTTGCTTCACTTTCTTCTTGGTCACTAGGCTTGGTCCCTTTCTCTGAATTGGGTGGGGGTGTCTTGGGAGCTGTATTGTGGGATGGAGGCTGTGTTTCAGTATTTTTTTTGTTTTTTGACTTGTTATCAACTCTTGACATGTTAATCTGTGTCTGATCATCCTGTTTATTCTGCTTTGCATTTCCTTTTACAGTGGAACTTGTTTCTGCAGCAACAGCTTGTGTGTCTTCAGGTGCAACAACAGCCCCGTCATCGGGCGCATCCTCATTCACACTTTCCTCATTGTCGGCTCTTGGTTCATTTGTTGGGAGCTTCTTTTCTGTCTGGTTTTCATCTTTTCGTTTCTCTTGCACGTTTTTTTGAGTCGGTTTGTCATTAGCATTTGATGCGGATGAAGCCTTCTTGTTTCGGGATTTCTTCTGGCTTGTCTGGTCCTTCACATTGCTACTTTCTTTAGAATCCAGTGGAGCTTCACCGCCAGTTGGAGGTTGGGTTTGAGCATCTTTTTGAGTCTGATCAACGCAGACTTGCCTACTAACATTTTCTTTGACCACAGAAACCTTTTCATGTACAACTTGAGTCTCTTCAGTTTCAGCGACACTTGTATCATCTGTTTGACACATTTTTATGTCTTCTGTTATTTCACTCAATGGGAGTGGATTTTCTGGACTTTTTAATACCATTTCAGTGCTTTTTTCAGCAACTTCCATGACTGGCTTTCCTGAAGTGGACTGGTCATCTAAAGATGTTGAGCTCTCACTGTCGGACCCATCTCCTCCACGATGTTTTGTATCTTTGTTGTCGTCAGTTGGAACAAGTGACAAATCTGAAAGATCGGGATCTGTAGACCCCTCTTCATCCTTCTTGCTTTTTTTTCTTTTTTTTCTCTACACAAAATGAGCACTTTCATGTTATGAGGTCATACAAAGATTTTGACTTAAAGCAATATAATAAAATGTGGTTTTAAATGTTACCCTTTTTTTTTGATGGGTGCCATCATTCAGGTGTTTTGGAGATTTGTCATGCTTCTCTGCGGCGCTGTCAGTCGCAGCAGTATCTGGAGCACATCAGAACAGGATTCAAATTCAACCAGACTAATACTTAACAATGCACTTGAGTCGATCTGAGAAATGGCAAAAGACAACAAAAAACTGAAGCGAAAGCAAAATTACACATTATTTACTTTTAACTAAATACAAAAAGACGGTTCAAGCTGCATTGTCATGTTTGTAAAGGCAGGGTGTGGTTTGAACACTTTTTACCCCAAATTACATTTATTAATTAAGATTTAATTTTGAGGAATTTAATATTGAATCATAAAATGGCTCCAAATTGTGTAAAAACATGTGTAATGGTAGAAAAAGTAAAACTTAAGTTTTATGTCTTTATATTTAAAGTTAAGGGTAAACCTCCTTTAACAACTGAATTCATTTTAGCGCAAAACCCATCCATTCATCCATTTTCTTCCGCTTCATCCGTTGCCGGGTCGCGGGGGCAGCAGTCTAAGCAGAGACGCCCAGACTTCCCTATCCACACAGGTCGTCCGGGGGGACCCCAAGGCATTCCCAGGCCAGCTGAGAGAGAGTCTCTCTAGCTAGCGTGTCCTGGGTCTTCCCCGGGGTCTCCTCTCCTATTAGCGCAAAACCACAATTTATATTTTAATTAGATGCCATTACAATTACATTAAGTCATACGCACAAAGCTAGGGTACCCAACTGTATTTATTTATGTAGTTTATCTCAAAAGAAAGTATCTTTTGAAGGTAAAATGATGTGAACCAATCAGACCATAACATAATGGCTTCTTGTCAGAAAACATCTTATCTTTTACATACGCGTACGAATGAGACCCATTTGTCTATTTGATGCTTTGGGCTGAGTGCTGATAGAGGGTGGTGCTCTCTTTTTTAATTATTTTGGTTGATCGAAGCCAAAACTACATGAAAAGACAGGCAATAGACCAAACTGTTTTGAGAGCAATGATCTTGTTACATAGACTGTATCACATTGTGATTGTTTGTACTTTGAAAATATATACTTCGAGCTTCAATTAATAAAATTAAAAAAAAAAAAAACAGGCGTAAACGTAAAAAGCAGGTGACTCAAATGTTGAGTTTCCGTGATGGGACACCGCCCTCTAGTGGTTAAATCCACACGTTTATTAAATTAATGGGCGACTTCAGATATTGCCTAGAATGTCTGCAAAGAATTTCCCAGTCAAATTGCATAATTAATACTATTTTCTAGGGAATATTGTCCTCTAACCTGCATAACACGCCGAGCTATATGCTTACCTTGGGTCACAACAGCTTGTAACTTACGACCACATTTACTGCAGAAGTTCGCATTCTTCTCCGAAATGGTGTGTTCGCAGCCAGGGCACTTCATCTCTATAATGTTATCTGCAGGTTAAACATCTGCTGAGCATAAAAAACTTTACTTTCACTTTTGTCATTACGTCAGGAGAATTTTATAGGCTACCAAAAGGCAACTGCACTAGCGTTAGATCACAAGACTACACCGAAGATGGCGAGAATCCGCGGGGCTAGGTTTTGGCATATCTTGTGATAAATTAATTGATGTTAGCCTCGTGCGAAATGCTGTTTTGTGCCGCGACCCTTGCTTTTATCGGAAAAAGATGATGTCTCACTCTCCTCACGGTTGTCAGCCAAATAACCCAAATTAAATTAATGAGTTAAGACTAATTCACTCATGTAAAACGCATTACAAAACACAAGTTATAGACTAGATGTGCGAGGACAGTGCATTTATCTGATTCTAAGTAATATTGTTGGTCATGGGGTAATAACAGCCTAAATGTCGCTTTCCGGAAACATCTCTGTGGCTGTCCTGGTCCCGTTCAGCCAATAACAAGACATAAGACACTTCCTGTTTTGTCTCCCAAATTCATAGCTACACAGATTATTATTATTATCTATTTTGGACATATGTACACATCTAATAATGTAAATCTGCTGAGTCATTTAGGATAAGGATGTGCTACCGACCTGTACATGTATTTCTGCACTAAGTTAGCATGGTGCTGGTGTTGATTTAGCTGCAGTTGTTGACTCCGAGCACTAGCTTCTGTCTGTGCAGGTGGAAGTGGACAAACTCACCTCTGAAGTGCGTCCTCTCGCAGTTCACCACATTCACGGGCGTTCGAACATCACACCACCGATACTGATCACCTTCTTTCATTTCCGCGTCATTTGTAGACGTCTTAGGTTTCGTTTTATCAGAATGGGAGTTCCCTTGCATAGTCGTAAAAATCACTGGTTCCGGACTCGATACCGACTTAGTAAAAATCACAAGTATATATATCTGGAGTAAAAGATTTTGGTTTTATTATTTTAATATAAACATTTTAAATTGGGGCATAAAGTATTGACAATATGAGTCAATATTGTGTGGAACCATCAAACTCTAAGATTAGATAGCGTTTGTGAACAGTAGTTTTCACATATTTTCCTTTAATGACAATTAAGATATCTTAATAACAGTTACAGTATACAGTGTAATGATTTAACAACATTTAATAGAGTATTTGATTAACCAAAAAATATAATTGATGCGTCTTAATCTGAGTTATAATTAAAAATAACTTGGTCTACAACTTGACTCAACAACATATTTTGCCACAAAACAACATTGCTGACTCATTATGGTTGTGTACATGACCTGAGGATGAAGGAAATCCAGGATTTACTTTCCTAATTTCTAAATGTGCGCTCTTGTTTGAAGCTGACACAACATTTCCAAGCTTCAACATACTGAGACAAACAGATTTCCTCTGGGAACAGCTCTTCTAGTTCAGGAGGAACATCCATGTCTTTGCGTTCCATGTAGGACACCAGAGTCTCTTTAAGACTAGAGGAAAAGGAACATTTACATTTATTACGTTGAAATAAATTACATGTAGGGCAATATCATCTTACCCCCACTCAGGTTTGAAGGTGTCTGTAGCCTTAGGTTTGTTCAGCATGAGTACAAGGAACTCATGCATCTCCAGCAGAAAGGTTTCGGCGCTATTTTTAGAAAAGAATCTAGCCAGCAGTCCACGCTCATCCACACTGAGAACCTGCTTGTACTCCTCTGGAATGTGTTCGAATGGATCCTACAACAATCAATTACACATTAAAACCCCCATAGAGACTTATGAGCCGTAAAGTATATTTTACCCTCTTAAGTTTTAGAAGGCCTTGTGATTTAAGAGACCCAAGCAGCTGCCATAATGCCGCACAATGTTTTAGAGAGCACATACTCAAGGCCTGTGTGAAATATGTACTTCAGTTCAATTAAAAACTCATTCCATATGTGTCATATGAACACATTATAACAGGTTTCAAACCTTGAGGATGTGTGGAGGGGTTTGAGTTGCCATTTTCAGCACATCCTCCAGGTAACAAGACAACTGCATACTGGCATCTCCTCCAGTCATGGCTAAAAACCCAAGAGCAATTTCCACTGCGGACAAGGCTTCGCACACCTCACTGTAAGAGTCTAGCTCTGTACCCACAGCACACTGGATGAGAGTTTGAAGGGGTTCCTGTAACAAATAAATATATTTATATATATATATTTATTCAACTTAATGGTGTTTTAAAAGAGCAGCCTTTTCTTACTTGTTTGATCTTTTCATTGACATCCTTAAGTATATTCTCATAGTTACGGTCATGTCTGTGCACCAAAGTAGGAATGCCCTATGCACAAAATATTATCATTTTCACCTTGTATATTCAACACATTTCTATTCTTTCATTTGATTTGATTTCTGCTCACATTCAGCGTGATGAGAGGTTTGCCCAGCAGAAAGCGTGACACTATTTGCTGCTGGATTTTAGGTAGGTCATACTCGTGCAGTGTTTCTTGACCTTTCTCAATGCTGTACTGAGTGTTGGACAAAACCAGGGGCATGAGGTCTTTGTCCAGCTCGTACCGGATCACGTGAAGGTCAGTCAGATCTACTGGACTGACTTTATAACTGAGTAAAACACATTATCCACAATATCAAAGCCTTGTTCAAACACTTGTTAACTGTGACATGCAGGGTTCACCTGGTGTCCTCTCCAGTGAGCCTGTCCACACTGTAAAGCAAGTCATTCTGCAGAAAGATGAGATAACTGACGAGGGCTGTGGAGCAGAGCCCCGGGCCTCGTCGACTGGGCAACAGCACTCGAAAGTCACTGCGGCGGTCCAAGTCCTTCTCACAGAAACTAGGTGGAAGCTTTATGTCACCTGAAAAACAAAACATAAAAACTGGGTCAACTAGTATATACTGTAGTAGAATATACACTAATATATATATATATATATATATATATATATATATATATATATATATATATATATATATATATATATATATACTAGTGCTATAGTGCTATATACTACTTCAGCAGTCGTCTTACCATTAGTTGCCAAGAACACTCTTAGTTCATTCCAAGTATTCAACACAATTTTGATATGTTTCTCGTACCAGGCCTTTAGAGAAACTGCAAAAAGTATATGAAAAGTCATATTTACTAACATAAACTGTGTATAACCCATATTTTACAAACATTTCCCTTATTTATTTGTGCAAGTTTGACAGGATAGTTAAGTAGTAGAATACCTGACTGCTGGCCTTCCAGAAAATCAGCAATAGTACCAGACACTTCAGTTATGTTTTGAAACTTTTTGACAAGATGTTTTTGAAGAGTGAGAATGTCAGGAAGGAATTTCACCAGCCTGTACTCGGCTTCCTGAAAAAAAAAAAAAAATGTATTGGGCTTTTGAATGAATATTTTATACTGTAGTATTCAGTAGTATTTGTCGTTGATTCCTTACCCTATGCAAAAATGTCCACAGAAATGGCAATGCTTCTTTGCCACCATTTTGCTCTAAAATGTGTGTGAGCCCAAAGAGAGACACCTTCTCTCTGCTGCTCCACACAGTGGAACAATGGATCAAAGAGTTTTTAGGTAAAGAGTCCAAAAACAGCTGAGGGTCCCCAAACATGACTTTCATGATTGGACTGGCAGAAATGCGGTCATCAGAACGAATGAGTGCGTTCACCTGCTTCAGCTGTCTCTCCATGTTCTAAGCACACAAAATAAGTTAGAACAATAAATAAAATTCTATTGAAGTAATGTTTTACTAAGACATTCCATTCAACAGACCTTCAATAGAGGAGCTATTATGTTGCTCATCTTATTTTCCCAATTATTTCTAGCTTTATTGGTGGAGAGCTGATTATCATAACCAACAGGCCCTGAGTGAAAAGACAATTGTTATTATTATCATTTAAGGTATAATGAAAAACGTCTATTTGGAAGTAAATATACATATACATAAAAATGCATAGTATTTTAGTTTATAGCAGTTTTCACCTAAAGATGCTTCATATGGCATTATTCATTCACTCCGTACTCTGTGGTGGTTAAATACTGCTGCATCATAGCCACTGCTGCCCTGGGGCAGACTGATGGAAGCAAGACAACTAGCCTGTGCCATCAGCCCCACCGACCACCATCAATCATTCACCAGACAAGACATTTAACCCACATTGCCGAGTATTAGGACACAATGACAGTTTGGCTATTTACAGCCGCAAGCGTCCCACTGTGGCCCCCATGATATAAAAACATGTTTGATGAAATACATACAGGCATGTTCATGTGGAGGATGGAGCAGGCTGCTGATGATCAAATGTACAGTGATGACTGCATCATCTGCTCCTTTTCCAAGGGACTTAGTCAGATGTCTTTGATCCTCTGTCAGATGAGCAAAGAGAAACTTTCCTGGAAAAACGACTCGGGGCTTGATCATGGTTGAGATCATCTAAATATGAAAACAAATAAAACATAACAATAAATTCTAAAACATTGATTAAGAGAATGAGCGTGTGTCCTCGGATATGACTCCATTCCTCACAAAAAAATAACAACTAACAATTACAATCTACTAACAGCAGGAATCCCAGCTTGTAGTTTATCAAGTAGAAGGCCATGAAATACCCACACACCTTACAGGTCTGTAACAATCTGAACATTTGCTGTTTGGAAGGAGGTGCAAATGCAAAAGGTTTAAAAACTCTTTTGTGTCTTCATAAAACTGATTAACACCATTGAGTGACTGTGTAAATGATGGTGGCCACCGTGGGGGAATTTCAGTGTCATCGTAACATTACAGCAGAAATAAGAGAACTCAGGTTATGCACACATGATCTATTATTTAAGATAATAGATAATAAAATAAAAAAGTAACAAAATATTGAGAGCATAAACTCTGGCGCTATAAATACACTTTTTCTTTTTCTTTTAAGTTACAGGCTAATAATAATCTTATTAAAGGACCTTTACATATTTCCAACAACGTGCAGATATACTGCTGTTTATGTAAACCTACACCAGAATGATCAGACTCCTGTGGCTACAGAATTCATCCTGTATGTACTGCTCATGTCACTAATCGATGTAGGACAGACAACAGAAAGACACATGGACATTACGCATATGTGGACCACACACATACACACAAACACATCTGACTAGCTAATATGTAAATTACATGTAATTTAAACTCTATAGGCCTAATACGACACACAATAAGTCATGACAAACATTTAACAATATAAGTAACAAAAGCACTTTTTATCCTGGCTTTTTCTCCTCATTGGAGTAACATTGTCCAACACTGCCCCAGTTTTCCAAGAATAAACTTAAAGTGTTGCAATTATTAATAATACAGCATTTACAAAGATTGAAACTCTCAAAATGAGCATCTCCCATTCAACAGCTGGGAGAAGATAATCAACCTAGAGAGAGAAACAGCCGAGTACATGGTGCTTATTTCTGTCTGTTGTCAACAAATGTGGAAAAAAACAAAAAACCATATTTTGCATTTAGTTTACTCTGCCATTTTTTACTCTTATTCTTTCTTAGCCCTCCAAATAAATGTGTTCACACACAACGCATGTACAGTATAGGGGAGCTGGGGGCATGAATCCAGACCCTCACCATCCCGACCCCCACTAATTAATACGTTTCATTTTGAATCTTGTTGTGAGGTGGTTCTTGCTAAAGATTTGTACCTGTGCGTCATTGCAGAGACCAAACATCATGGCCATGTGTGTGATCATTCGGACGACTGCAAAGGGAACAGGGGAAAGGCTCTTTGTGTCCAACATGTCAGGACTGTTTCTGCGTCCAGGGTCACCAAGGATGTGCCCACTCTGAGTACGGTCACCCCTGTAAGATACCACAATAAAATAACATTTCCAAATCACAAGTGTGTGTTTTTAAATTGGCTTTTTAAAAATGTAAAAATTCTTACTGTAACTGGGCTACCATAAACCCTTGCGCTGGAATATGATTAATTCCACCTATATCTGCTCCACAGTCCACACAACGACTTCTTTCCATGGGTCGACCACACTAAAAAGACTATTAGATCATTCTTCTCATATACAATACAATTTTGAATAAAAAATGTACATACTTCACCAATAGTACATGGGTGTCCATTTGGACAAACTACAAAAAGTAAATTATACATAATTATCTCAAGTCTTTCATTTATATCTTTGGTTTTGTCAGTTACTCACGGTACCACCGCAACTTCTGTCCCATTGCTTGTTGTGCCATTATGATTTTGTCTTCCGGCATACTGGGTAAAAACGCCGCCTAAAACAACAAGAAAAATCTTAATTAACAAGAACGCTGTGTCACTCCTAAACTTGATCCAGCCCGTGTTTACCTGCATGGTCCTAGGTGTGAGAGCCAGCTGCTTCAAAGGTCCCAAAATGCCCTGGTTTCCACAGAGAAGCACAGCAGCCAGATGGACAGTGAGTTCTATGAGGACGCTCTGAGTCCTGGAGAGCGCAGGCTGGAGAGTCAAAGGCCCAAGCTGGTTTGTGACAAGAGCCTGAGCAAAAGCCTTTAATTCTGGGGAAGTTAGGACTTTAGATTGCCCAATATAGCCCATCCATAGGTCTATTTGCTAAAATAAAACGTAAATTAATGGAGTTGATATTAATGTTCATCATGAAGTGTATGATTTTCTAGTTTGTTTTACCGCAGGTTTGGGATGAAGGTTTGTACTGGGTTGTTTGTACCATGTGGTGACTTCTCTGTACAGAGCAAGAAGCAGCAAAACTGCTCTGCTTTGATTTACACATCTGACCCTCTAAAGACAACAGAACCATAAATAATTAGAAAACCACTCATTAATGTCATAATCTGACAAATTAGGGAATAACCATAGTAATAGTTTCACCTCACAGGTCCCATCCAGGTCATCCATGGTGCCATCCATAACCACCTTTGCAACAGCATTTCGGATGGTTTGATAGTCAGGACCACACACAAGAAAGAAGTCCATTGGTGCCTCATCAGCCTTTCGCAATAAAGAAGTTCATTTAAATGTAATGTATTCACCATTTTAAAATAATATGAAAAAGTACCTTTTCCAGAATTTCCTTGGGGAAAATCCAGCTCATTTGAGGAAATTTAAGGAGGTTCTGGACATGTGCCACTCCATGCTGAGTTCCAAGTTTCCGAATTAAATAAACTCGGTACCAGTCGTTCTTACTTTGCTGACACAAGTTCTTAACACTTTTAAGGAAGGCATCCACTGCATTGTGTGCTTGAGATTCTGCAGTCATAAAAATAACCAATCAGCACAGAAACCATATGCGGCTGCAATGATGGAGAGAACCGCACTTGTCAGGGTGGTGTCTTCAATAATGAGACCAGCCGCTATGTCCAGGTTAAGTCGGACACGTGCGACCAGCTGCAGGCTGTCTACAGTGGACGAACAGAGGATTTGTTGGGGATAATCAGACAGAAGCTGCAGGAATATGCTTTCATCCTCCAAGCACAGTTTCTCAAACATGGAGTCCTGTAAGAACGAACATCTCATTTAAAAAAACTCAAGATACGTTTTTCTTATTATAGTGTAAGTATATTAATTTGCGTACAGGAATTCTCAGATCAATGAAATACCTCAAAACAGTTTATGTAGAGCGAGTACAGTTCAGTCTTCTCTGCATCGTCCAAGAGGTTGCTCTCTTCTACTGCATGAAGATAATGCTTCAAGTACTTCTCTATTTTATCAAAGCTTAATACACAAAGGAGAATACTTAGAAATAGAGTAACATTGCATTTCAATATTTACAAATATGCGCCACATTACCTGTACTTCAAAAGTAATTTAAGCACGACTGAACGAACCACGGGGCTTTTGTCAAGAGATTCATCAAACGGGGAGAACTCTTTTGTGACAATAACTCTCTGTCTTTGTGCTGAAGAAAACAAAGACAAAGTCATTCTTAAAGCTCCAAAACAGACAGAGCTATCCTCCAGAACCACAAGTTATTTTATCTTTATGTTACCTCCAGGTATCAACGCAGGATTAGCCTCGTGCATGAGAAATGACAGCAGATCACTGACCACCTCTGAACTTGGCGGGGAATTATCTTTGAAACACATGGATGACACCAACTCCACAAAGAAAGCATTGCAGCGCCTTCTAAACTGTGCATGTGTGTTTATTTGAACCCTACAAACAAAACATGATGTTGAAACAAGGTCAAACGTATAAACAGGAAATTATTATTTCTAACCAACCTAATATCGTTGGAAGGAACTATTGCAAAGTCATCGTTGACCTGCTGCATACAGTATGGACAGTACATCTGCCCTGGGACAAGCCACTGTTTGATACAGACCAAACAATAAATGTGTTGACACGGGAGGCAGATGGGGTCCTGAGGGTCTCCAATACACACTGAACACCGAGGGAGACCAAACCTGTAAAATATTGTTGCTATTATTTATTATTATTATGGGTTAATATTGCAACTTCTTTTTACCTGAAGATGCATTCAACAGCTCCTTCTTTGCAGGTTTTCAGTAAACCAATGACAGTTTCAAACGCATCTTTAGTTTTCATGTTTGTGTTCTTTTCCAACATCTTAACATTTAAATGGCAACAAAAAGTATAAAACTTTATTGATCTTAATTGAAAATGGAAGAATTGTATCTGCAAAAATAAAACTGACAAACCTGCCAAAGTCTCTGTGTGTTCTGTAAAACTGAGGGGACCAGTTTTTGGTCTAGTTCCTCAATACCCACCAACATGTGCTCCACAAATAAAGAAAGACAAAAGATCCGATTCCAAGCATTCCTGATCCAAACACACACAAAGGTTTCAAAATAAATTGTAGCACAGGTCCATTTACAGACATTGACGCCTTACAGCACTCTGCTGGCAAAGGCTTTGCTTCTCTCTCCGTAGAGTTGGACACAGTCCTCAGCACAAACCAGTTCAATGGGAACCTGGAGTTGATGAACCTGTCTGAGCCAAGTCTGTCTCTGGTCGTCTGTGTCCAGAGCTGTTGGCTCCAAATTTTCCACACAGGCAAAAGCAGCATACACATCCAGTATCTTAAAGGAAATAACAGAACACCTTACATGATATCATTCTATCAGAGGGCTCCCTAAAAGGACGATTTACCATTTCAGGTCCATCTCTGGAACTTGGATTTCTTAAGAGGTCTCCTGTGACTTGTGGTTTAATGCAGATAATCCTGGAGAGGTTCTGCAGTCTGTTCTTGAACTCGTGAGCAGCGTGGATCCAGGACAGAGACGTGGGTCTGTCTGTGGCTTCAAGCTTTATCTTCAGTTCATTCACACAGCTGTTAAGAGCTGCACTCAGGAGCTAATGATGAGTGCACATAATGAGGATATTACAGTCACACAACAACAAATGTGAAATGAGACAAAGTGAAAAACCTGCATCTCTTCTTCACAGGATACATTCATGGTTAATGAGATATAATCCTGTAAATATCGGTGGTAGAATTCCGTCTGTGTTTCCTGGTCTTCTTTTCCAATGAAACGCCCCAATGGTGTGTTCCAGAAGAAGTCATCAAACTGCAGCTGTGTTTGCCCTAATGATCACCAGAAATCACCATTTCATGATATTATGACACATTTCATAACTGAAACAGCAGACTTTACCTTCGTTCTGGAGAGCGTGAACCCACATGTCCTCCAGGTAGTCTCTGATCCTCCAGCTAAAGGGCATGCTGCAGCCAACTCTCATCTTTGGAGTGATGTAGTTTTGGACCAGAACTGTTCTGCTCTCAGAACTAACACCAAATATTTGTGATAAATTATGAACCCACAATATTTTTCAAACTACAGTAGCATGTCTTACTTGATTTGTAGAAGCTTGTCATTTCCAAAAATGTCCAACCACAGCTTTTTAAGAGGAAGTCCACAGTTTTTATCCAACAGTAAATTCAGGTTTTGGTCACGGTCACTGATTGCAACAAGGTGAGCCAACATAGGTATTACCACCGCCTGAATACGGTTCCATAAGGTGTTCCTGCCATTTCCAAAAAAAAGAAAACCTTTATTTTATTTTTCTATAACACTTCTTTCTAATCGGTTCACCTCTGGACTGTCACCCTAACGTGGTCGGGAAGTTTGAGTACTCGGATGATTGTGGGAGCTATTTTTTCTCGGGATCTATGCCCCTGGTAGAGCCTCCCATGGCAAACAGGTCTTGGGTCTTGAGTCAGACAAAGCCACCATGGATAGCACAAGATTGAGAACCGTGACGTTGCCCAGGATGGCTCTGCCAGGGCCCCACCATGAAGCCAGGTCTGGGGTTGGGGCTTGTAAGCGAGTGTCTGGTGGCTGGGCTAGCTCTCCCCACCACCCACAGAGGGATCCATGGGAGCGGGAAGCAGAGAGAATTGGGTGGAAGTCGAAGGCGGAGACCTCAACGAGCCTGGCTGTTGGGATACGGAACGTCACCTCTCTGGGGGGGAATGAGCCTGAGTTCCTGGGCGAGGTTGAGAGATACCGACGAGAGATGGTCTGCCTCACCTCTACACACAGCTTGGGCTCTGGAACCCAACTCCTTGAGAGGATTTGGACGCTTCACTTTTCTGGCGTTTCTCCTGGGGAGAGGTGGCAAGCGGGGGTGGAAATACTCATTGCCCCCATCTCAGGAGTCACATGTTGGAGTTCTCCCTGGTGGGGTACTGGATTGTGCACTGACAGGGGAGGTTTTCTCCTGGGGGACTTCAACACCCATGTGGGAAACGCCATTGACAATTGAGGGGGGTGATCGGGAAGAACAGTGTTCAGTTGTTGGACTTCTGTGCTACCCCCGGTTTGTCCATCACAAACACCATGTTTGACCACTAGTGCACATGGCACCAGACACCCTAAGCTGGAGGTCGATAATCAACTGACCTTTGGCGACGTGTCTCGAAATGGCTAGTGTTTCATAGTGTATCACCTAAATTATTATTACATACAGTATGTGCTTAGAATGGACTGTGAAAAAGGAAGAAGAGCAAAATAAGGGACATTTAACTTCCTGTTTGACTGACCTGAAGGTTCCTCCTTCTTGCAGTGCATCAATGTTGGAGGCCTCCCTCATGACCCAGTTGTTTGACCAAATGGTGCTGTCGACATGAGTGGCCAATAATGTATGAAGATGCCTCTTAACGATACAGCTAAATTCTTCTGTAAAAAAATATTTAAAAAATTGCATAATATATTGAAATAGATGTGTTTGTCTATATTAGTGCTAGCTGATCAGTGAGGTACCTTTAATTTCATCATCATCATCATCGAGAAGAGTTAGCAGAATCTCCACCCTGAGAGTGCTACGAAAGCCGGTCTCCATCTGATCCCTGAGCATTCCGACTGCCCTTTGCACACAGCTACGCAACAGTGTAGTTGTGTCAAGGACACAAAAACGCTGTAGCAGAACAGTTTACCACAGGTTAAATATATAAAGTGCATTTTGTCTTGTGTTTAAGGCTTAGAAGATTCTTTTAATAAGATCAAAAATTTTAAAGTGAAATAGAGAGAAAGTTTTAGAAGAATGTCTTGAAATCTCAACTTCATATAATCTCAGTTAAGTATCTCACACCACCCCTGGCGTTCCACACCCGACTTTGAGAACCACTGTTTGATAGAGACTAGTATGTGCTGTGCTTGTTTTTAAATAGTCTTTCACAGAGTCAAATATTTTGTGTTTGTGTATCTGTCTGTCTGTGTCTCTTTTTCCCTTTTTGAAGCTCCCAAAAGAAAGTCGGACCACACATTAAGGTGCAGTATACAGTAAATAACAATTAAAAAGAATTAATTCTTACATTTTCATTCTTCTCAGAGTCTGTGTTCTTCTTTTCGGTCTCCACATATATGTCATCATTGACCTCCAAGGCTGGGGGAAAGACATAAAGAACATCAGCCATTTGTCAACCGACCGTGAAGAATTACAAAATGCTTTAGTGAAAAGTACCTTCAGGTTGATTTCTGTTGTTTTCAAACAACTGACTGATTGTCATTCTTTGCAGGAGTTTTATGTCAGAAATAATTTCATTTGATTTTCTAAGGTCGTCAATGTGAACTGATTTCCAAGGTCCTATAATATAATACTTTATGAAACAGCATTGCACATTAAAACAACAAAGTAAAGAAAAAAGAATCATACCTCCATAGAATCCAACATAGGACGTCCCTCCAATCATTCTAGGCAGTCTTGTAATGATGTAGACAAACACTCTCTGTCCTGGGTTCTCAAGTACCGTCTTTCTGATTTCATTTATGGATGAGTGCCTGGTAAAGGAAAGTAAAGGAGGTGGAACAAGTGTCTAAAAATGGATGAACATTGGCAGCTTACTTTGCAGATGCAATAAGATTAGCACTCTGAGAAGCTTCATCATAATCACACTGAACGATGAGTATCTTTGATTCACAAATTATTTCTACCAGTTGTGAGAAAGTTTCTGTAAACAAAATGTACGTAAGCCAAATCATATAAATAATATGAATAATACAATGAGTACATTTTCTCACAAACCTGATCTTTTTTAAGAAGGAGTGCTCTGTGTCAAATTGCCGGACGGACAAAAGTCCAGCACTTAAACCATTTTGCTCCAGAGATTTTAAATCAGACGCTGTCAGAAGTCTTGAAAATGTGGTCACCTAGAGATCAAATGTATTACCGATACACAAGTAGACTAGTTTAGGTGACAGGAAAATGACCTACCTCTGTGAAGAAGGTGTTGCCAAGCTGCTCTTTCCCAGTTTGGGCAAGGATAAACTCTGATAAACAGCCATTGTGCTTCTCTTCATTGTAAACTTTGGCCAGATGATCAGTCTCTCCTCTGGGAAGTTCACTGCTGTCCAAACGAACAACGGAATCCGGTGTGGCACATTGAAGGAGCACAAGTTTAGCTTCATCCAAAACTTTTTTGTCAGGGTCCATAATTTCCATTGTGTGTTTTTGAGTCTCCAGAACTTGAAGCACCACAGAAGCACATGTGTCAGAATGGTAGCCAATAAAAACCTCTGCAGGTTTGTACTCGTGTTTAGCTCCTCGATGCCTGCTCAAAGACACATAGAGCTTCACCCATTTTTCCAGCTCTCCAACAATTGTCTTGTGTTCAGATTTGAGGACAGTGTGAATGTCCAGAAAATGCTTTTCCAATCTGTTGATGAGAGGAATGGGAAACTGTTCGTAAACAACTTCTCTTTCCTCAATGACAATGAGTCTAAAGTCCTTGTGAACCCTGCACTTGACTCTGTGTGTCCCCAGTCCAAGATCCACATATTTCTGTCCACCAAGTGCACATTAGTACTGATTAAGAGCATCATAAAGGCTTTCATAGAGGTTCTGCAAGTTTAGAAGGACAACGGTTTGCCCAGTCTCCATACAAATTTTAACTCTGTTGATATTGCGACAGATTTGGGTGTATTCTTGGTCTTTTGGAAAGCTAGAGCCAAAGATAATTTCCGGTTGACCATCTTCTTTGAAGAAAGTTTGTTGAAGGAGTTGCAGAGCTGCATAGTTTTTAGTCAGTACCAGCAAGTAACGACACTCCTCTTCCTGTCCAATGGCTTGAATGTTTTCTTTCACAAACTCTATAGCGCTGATGTTCTCCAGGTTAGGTGTAATGTGCAGTTGATTTTTGAAAACAGTAACTGCATCTACATCAACTCTTCCACTGAAATTACGCAAAACCGCTTTCATAATTTCCTCTGCAGGTGGTTTCCTCTGCAATTGCTTGGCAACAGCAAAAACCATCTTAATTAGGCTGTAAAAATCACGCAAACCAAAAAAACCATTTCTTTGTTTTTGACAGATCTCCAAATAGGCTTTAGCAAATGGTTTGAACAAGTCCCTGACCATTTCTAGAACCCTTTTATCAGATGAGCATATACCCTTGGCACTCTCAACAAGTTCCTGCTCATCTGGATCACCACGGGAAACAAAAATCCCCCTGTTCATTTTTGCTGGATCCAAAGCCCAGTTGGAAATTCCGATGAATCCAACTTTTTTATGAGGCAATGGTTCGTCGTCAATGCATCCTTCCTCAAGCAATGGATGGAGAGTTTTAAGAGGCATTTTTGGAGAGTCCTCAGCTAGACCAATCTCATCAAGGACTACAACAGAAATGTACTCCTTCAAATTCTTTCCTTCCTGGAAACGTCCACACTGCTTGAATGTATTGATAATTCCCTCTGGGGTAGAGTGGGGGCTACATTGGAAAGACACCAAGTGGATCTGTTTGAGCCTTTTGTAAATGTCAGAATGAGAAGATTGGCCTTGCATTGCATCAGCCACCAAAGTCTTTGATAGAGATTTTGAGCTTCCAGGTTTTCCAACTAAAAAAAGTGGGATTCGAAGCTCAATGCAGACAACCATCATGAAAACATTTTCTTTCAGGGCATTGTTTCTTGCTATTGTGTCCCTCATTGGAACGCCTTTGAGAAGTAGATCCTGCATGATAATAATTTCTTGTTTTATCTTAAATGAAGTGTATTCTGTAGGAAAGCTTCTGGAGATTTTCTGCCTGTATTCCTCCTTGTTCTCAAGACAGGCGTGATAACACACTCCAGTGGCCATGATTAAAGACCACAGAACAGGATCAGTACCTTCACTACTTTGATTAGAATCAATTTTGTCCATCTCATCAAAGAATGTGGCACGGTTGACGAAAAACCAGACAAAAGCCTGCATGCAGCGTTCCACATCTCGAAGGCTCACAAAGCTGCATTCATCTTTTCTTTGACGCATGTACTTCTGTGAGGCTGAGAGGACATTCACTATGACTTGAATATAAAGAGCATTGATGTCATTATTGTGAACCACTCTTTGTACTATCTGCTGAATGTACATCTTCTCTGTGTCGTCATTTAACTGCCCAAAGTCCCACACAAGGGGGATCATGCTTGGTGGTAGGGCATGAACCCGATACACAAGCTGCCGAAGAGGAATAGAACCTAGTTTTTCATTGGTCTTCTCAGCTCGAACTCTGTATCCTAGACCCGCAGATTCTAATCTTTCAATCATCTCATCCGTGTGCTTCCGGTAGGGATTGCATGCTGCTACAATCTGAAGGCCAGAGCCTGATGCCAGACCTTCTCCTTGAACAGTCTTGTCACAAAGAACCTCCTTGATGCTGCTGATGGCGTCTGTGGTGTTTGCTTCGTCAAAAAACAGAACAGAATCAAGGCCATAGACTTTTTTATTTATAGCAGCCATGCTTTCTGCCTCTTTGACTTTGCCGTAAATTATTTTTGAGGTTGTTCCGCCATGGACTTTGACTAACTTCATGTTCTCTGTGGCCACACCACTTTTTCGTAACTCACAGAGAAATTTGATGAGCCTCGTTTTGCCACAACCGGTCTCTCCCATGATAATAACGGGGATGCCACACCTGAAGCGCATGTGGATTGCAAGTATCTTGAGAATGTTGTCAGAAGTCAGTTCATAAGTTTCATCTGGGTCTTTCAAAGGCACCTTTGTTCCAAGAAACTTACATATTCGCTTGATTTTTTCTCCTCTTGGAAGGGAGTCAAAGTCGATGTCAAAAGACACTCGCTGCAGCCGTAGGCCATCATATAGCTGTCTAGTCATAATATTTCTTTTGATTACCTTTCCTGAAGCAGGATCAATGGCATCAATGGCATTGTGTCTATTGGGCTGAAGGTGGAAACCTATAAAGGTCATGGACACACGGTCATCATTAAAAAAAATGTATGGGTGAGGTTCGGTTTCCCATCTCTTTCTGATGAGGAATGGAGCCAAGTCTTCTTCTCCGACACCAGTCAGATCCGTCTGGGGCCGGCCAGGACTCTGGTCAGTAATACTTAAGGATGGAGTGGCAAAATCTTTAGCCATCAAAATCATGAAACCGACAACAAATCTTTTAAATCCAACTAAAGTCTCTCCAGCAAAATCAGCATTACAGAAAACAGATTTTTCACAGTCTTGAAGCTGGAGATTGAGAAACCACGCAAAGTTTCGTAATTCGGCCCAGGACGGGTTTACGATTCCACAGTGCATGAGAAGCATTTGAAGACATTCACCATGTGAGCCTTCAACTCCATTGTAAGTGAACCTATCCAGATCGGCATGATTATGAAATCGTGTAAGATATTGATAAGGTCTCTGAATGGCAGCACTTCTGAATTCTTCATCATCCATCAATGGGTCTTCTCCATTAATTATTGTTGGGTCATCTATTTTCCTAAGCTCCAACTCCAATACCTCCTTTGGAGGCCGGCAGAAAATTTTTGGCAACACGTCTATGAGTGACAATTTTTCAGCCTATAAAACGAGAAATTATCAAGAAATTATGGCAAATGGTTAATTTAATGTAAGCAAAAAAGGCTTACCTTCCGTCCTGTGGTTTTTGGTCGCTCCAAAATCTCAACTACATACAACTGCTTCTCATTGCACTTCCACACCTTCCCCTCAGAGTTCATGAGATAGCGCAAAAACAACAGCTTGAATAGAAACTCATGCAGACCATGTTGAACCTGAGGCAAGACATATCAAATGAGAGTGGAAACAAACAAAAAAAAGAATACAATTTTTTTTTTAGGTAGTTTACTTCAGCCTGTGTGTCATTAAATTATTGCTGAAACAAAAGGTTTATCTCTCTGATTTTCATAGTGCATTCAAAATTTTGTTAAACTTCATGACAAAACAAAATCTAAGGACCTTTCAAAAAACAAAAAACTTTAGCATCAACTCTGTGATCATGATTCTACCCTTTAAAAAATCTCTAATGAAAAAGCGATCCAGTAACATGCCTGACAAGTCATTACCGAAGCTGTGACATCCAAATGAAACACTGTGAGGGCTTTTGTCTCAGTGTTGTTCAGAAGAGACTGGAACACGGCATCCTCATCAACAGTAGGTTCAATCAAGCGAATGCACTTCATTGCTGTAGTCTTCTTGGTCGAGTGCTTTAGTTTCTGATACAGCCTCTTGATATAAAGCGATTTACCTAAACGAAAAAATCAAACCCCACTGTCACCAGCCACTTTTATACAGTGGGCCAAAAAAGTCAGCCAACAATTGTGCAATAATAAAATGAGAGATGCTTGTAACTACAGTATTAGAGCCAAAATGAAGAAAAAAATCCAGAAAATCACATGTCTAATTTTGAAAGAATTTATTTGACTTACGGAAATCATTTGACCTCGGTCATTGTCAACAAAAACTATATCACTATAAGTACTGACAAAATACTTATCTTGCACCATCATTTGCAAATATGTTCTTTAAAAAACAATGTGATTTTCTGGATTTCTTTTCTCATTTTGTCTCACAAAACATGAAGACAGGTAAGATATTACCTTTTTTTTTAAACGGCGACCGGTACAAATTTAACAATTACAGACCCATTTCACTACTCCCACAGTTTTCAAAAATATTAGAAAAATTGTTTACTCACAAGTTAGATATATTTTGGGAAAAAAATAATTTACTCTTTGATTATCAATACGGGTTCAGATCTCAAAGATCAACATCTACTGCACTCATTTACTTAACAGAAAAATACTTGAGGCTATTGATAAAAAATAATATTTTGTAAGCGTCTTTTTGGACTTACAAAAGGCTTTTGATACAGTCAATCACAACCTACTGTTAGCAAAATTACAAAACTACGGAATTAGGGGTCAGATCAATAAATGGCTTGAAAGTTATTCAACCAATAGACAGCAACTTGTCCAATATGATAGTTATAGTTCGGAATGTAAATCTGTTTTGTGTGGAATCCCCCAAGGCTCTGTAATTGGGCCCAAGCTTTTTATATTATTTATTAATGAATTATATGAGGCTTCTAAACATCTCATTTTTTTTGTTATTTGCTGATGATACCACAGTATTTAATAGAGGAAAGGAACTAAATGAATTAATGGATAACATTGAAGGGGAAATGGTCAAATTAAAGCAGTGGTTCGATTACAATAAATTATTTCGAAACTGGGATACAATTCAATTCAACTTTATTCCGGACTCATAGTCCAATACAATTAAATAAAAATAAATAAAAAAAATTTATAAAAAATAAAACTTGTTACATGATTTTTGGGAAAAATGACCCACAATTATCAGTCCAATTAATTATTGATAATGTAAACATTGAGTGTGTTTCAGAAGTCAAATTTTTGGGGGTAATCCTTGATAATCACATATTGACTACATCAGAAAAAAAGTAAGTAAAAGTATTGGCATATTGTATAAGGTCAGATACACTCTGGACAAGGCTTCATTGATGTTGTTATATACAACTCTATTTTACCTATTGCATCAAGGTTTGGGAAAATTCTAGTAATATGGCCACAGAAAAGTTATATCTACTTAAAAAGGAAGGCGGAAGAGTCATCTGCCACAAAGGTCCTAGAGACCACACAAATAATCTCTTCAAACAATTACAACTCCTGAAATTCAAAAATCTTGTTCACTTCAAAATTACTCAAACAATGTGGAGGGTGAAGAACAAGTTGGTGCCAGTGCACATCCATAATAATTTTTTTTTAATCACAGACAGTAGTAACAGAGGAAAGGACATTTTTGTGTGCCTTTTTCACGCACCACTTTGAAACATAAATGTTTCCTTGCAACAGGTATTAAGCTTTGGAACTCTCTGGATCCCTGTGCACAATCCTGTAACACCATTTTACAGTTGAAGAAAATGTATTTAAAAAAAGTACAAATTGCAAATTTGTACTTTTGTACAAGTTGCAAATTATGGAAAATGATTGGTTGTTCAAAAGTCCTACAAAATAGAGGTAAACACTATAAAATCAACAAAAACTACAGCAAAGTGTAAGATTGCTATGTGTAAAAGAAAAAAAAAAATATATAAAAATAAAATAATAATATTAATGATAATAAACATATAAAGGCGAGCCATCCCATTTTTAATCTGTCAACTAATTACTGTATGTGTTAAGGGGCATGAAACAAGACTTTGTCTTCCACATGCTCCTATTCAGCAACATTTAATGGAATTGAAGTATTTGTGTTCTTATTATTTTCATTATGATTGTAAAAATGTCATGGCTGAATAAAATAAAATAAACATAGTTGAGGTATATCTATAATGAAATTACAGGCATTTCTCAAGTGGGAGTGCTTTCACAATTGGTGGCTTGGTAAAAACTCTGTATCCCCATTGTATAATTATAATGTGTCAATGAATAGTTCAAGATTACCTACCTACACCAGATCTTGTTGATGAGACAATGCCAACACACAGCCGGTCTTTGAATGCAGCAGCAGCACTGCACTGGTCTTCAGAGACAACATAGTGCTCATGCAAGTATTCCTGAACTCTCGCTAGTGGAGCCTGGGGAACCATGTGAACTTTGAACTGGCAAAAGGCAGTTGGAAGGTAAGCATGCTCCCTTTCTGAGCTGCAGAATATCACAAGTCTGTACTGATTTCTGCTTTGTATTTTAATGCGCTGAAAAAAGCTCTCGACTTTAGAGCTCACATCGTATGTCAGCACATCTGCATACAGCAGCGAGTAGATCTTGTATCCTCTGTATCCGCAACTGAAACAACGCCTGAGAAAGAGCTCTACTTGTTCATAAGGTGTAGTAGGAGTACACAGGAGCACTTCATCATGGGTTGGTAAAGACTCCTTTGGGCTGCTCATGTAGGTGGAGATACAAGATGTTAAGATGTCTGCATGCGGACAAACAATCAGGTTTGGTTTTCCAATATTTAAGCCATTCGGAAGTTCCCTGTGAGCACAGGTTTGAACTCTTTCTTCTGAAATATCTTCATCGCTATCACCCTCTGCTACTTTGTTTGCAAGTATTTCCAGCAGGCGCCCAAACGTCATCAGATCAAGAACATCAGGAAGTGAACCCTTCATGTCTTTCATGTAAGTGTTCCATATGGCATCAAATTCCAGTAGCCCACTTGTTCTTTGTACTAATGGTGGTAGAAAGTCCTGTTCGCTGTTGATATCAGAATTAACATTTTCTACCCAGGTAAACGTCCGAAACTCAATATTGTCGTTAACTTCTTGTGGTCGACCGAGAATGTCATACAGAAGCTCGTGCCACACCTGTCTCAGGTCTGCAGCGGAGCAATCAGGCTTGACAAAAGAGAGCATCATCAAAGCTTGTTCATCTACATGGGACACTTTTTCTTGAGAGAGGTGACTGCAAAGGTAAACAATCTGTTCAGCTGTATAGTAATTAAGATAGTAGTGATTAGATCTTTGTTTATCTACAAAATCCATCCAGAATTCAAGACATTTCTCCATTTTTCTACATAAATTAGGAAGCTGTTTTTCAAGGTTGCCCTGAATAATCACTGCACCAAAAGCACTTCCAAGATTGAAGTCCATCATAATACTGGGGTCATGACCATTTGTGCAGCAACTGATTTGAGCTTCCCAGTGTCTAAAGAGTGGATTACCGGCTGTGTACAGAGCAATGAAAGCCTCAGACAATCTCTGAACATTGTCAAACACCTGGTGAATACAAACAAACACAGATGTGTTAATTGTTGCACAACGTAAAGGTAACTTAAAGGCGTTGGTAAAATACCTCTGTGAAATAATCCACTTCATGCTGTCCTTGATCTCCTTTACCAGACATAAGCATCAGTTTGTTCTGCAGTTCTCGCAGCTCTTCTAGAGAGTAGTTTCGTGTATGTTGACCAGCATCATGTTCCTCTGGGATTCGGAGCTCTAGGGCTTTGTCAAGACACAACTGGATGCAAAAAAATATATCAACATTGATATATTTCTACAAATACAAATGTTTGAAAGTGGGATAAACCTTTTTTCCATGTTGTGCACTGATGATGTAAATCCCCTTCTGGTTAATAGATGACGCTAAAGAAAGAGATGATAGCTCCACTGAGCCATGGCTGTCTTTCACGGTTTTCAGCCATTCAAGATGACGAGCACTGTCTCGCTTTAGAATATAAAACAAACAAAAAAACGTTATGCTTTTACTTTTTAAATAATCATTTCTCCAGCAAAGCATAATATCTAACCAGTTTCTTCGGCAGGTGGCAATCGTTTTCTAAAGCCCTCCAAAGCTTCTTGACCACTGTGTTGAACTTGTCAAAATCTGCATCCCGCTCCAGTTCATAAAGCAAAGGGGAGTATCCAAGAACAGCATCATGGAAACAAGCCACCCGGTCCACGTCCATGTCATTCTCCCCAGCGGAGATCGAGGCAAGGTCAACAAACACCTTCAGCTCGTTGATATCTGAGAAATAGTTATGTGACATGAGGTATTGAACTTAGGTATGTAAACTTAATTGAATGATTTGTATTTGGAATGTTACCTTCAAGAGCCTCTTTGACCCAGCGGACAAAGTTACCCCTGAGTCCCAGCTCACGCAGACAGTCTTTACGTGTTTCGGTTATATCCACTAGATCCTTTTTGGCTTGAATCAAATCATTATCAATCTGATCAATCCGGACGCCCTCCTTTTCCTCATTCTGAATGCAAACATGTTTCAAATTATTGCATTGTAATGTCCCAACATGTTATCCAGTTTAGCTCATAACTTACAACTTGTAGAAGATATAATAGAACGCTAAAGTCTCCTTGGAGGTGAAGAGTATTTTTCACTGTCATAATGATCTCTGCTGAAGCCGCAGCCAAATGAAGCTCATGAAACTGTTCAATTTGTTGGACACGGAGTTGAAGCCACCGTTTGTCATCAGATGGATCAAGGCGGCACATTATTCCCAGGTCCTTTTCCATCTCTTCATACTTTTGCTTGTAATCTTTGAAGAGGTTGTCGATCCTTTCAAGTGTAAGACTGCCATTCTTTAGAGAAAAGTAGATTCTTTTGTACTCATCAAAGCAACCCTGGAAAATATCTTCGTAGATTCTTTCCAGTGAAATTTCCTCTTCTTCATCAGAATCCTCTTCTGCTTCTTCATCAGATTCATTTTCACCAACAAAATCACTCACATGATGCTCCCAACACATATTGAAGATATAACTATCCCTGAATGTGTACATTTTTTCTGCCATGCATCTAGTATTTTCATCCATATTAAAGTATGTGACATGTGGTGTGGCTGTTTCCCAGGATACTTGATCAAAGAGATGAACTTCAATGAACTCATTTAGGTGCATTTCTTCCAAGTTTATCTGGTGCCTTTTCTCCATGGCAGCAGCATCCACTGTTGAGATATAACAATTACGTTCAATGACTGAAAGGGCTCAAACGACAAGCATTAGAAGTCCAACATACCTTTCATAAATTCCTGAAGTTGGTGGATCCGATGAACCAATGTATCCACCAGGTCTTTCTCACGGTAGATGGCCGCAACTTCACATTGTCTCTGCTGCAGGAGCCTTTTCATTTTTTCTGTATCTCTGTATAATTTATCCTCAATAAAGCAGTCTGTATTTAAATTTTTAAAAATTAACAACAACAAATTTGAGAGAAATTGAGGAATAAATAAATACTCCTACCAATCTTAATCAACTGTAAGAAAGTAGATTCATATTTCAGAATCATTTTGAGTAAGCCAATCTTAATGTGTCCGTTGAGAAAACTTCTGATGACGTCCGAAAACAATGAAATGGCTGCAACAATTTTTGCATTTGCATCTGATGAAATATCTCTTTCCATTCCTTCCTTAGAAACTGCAATAACAACAAAAAAACGAGATATTACAATCCTGAAAAGTTGAATTGTCTATTATTTTATACATGTTACTCTGAGTGGCTATTTAATTGTACCCCAAAATGTCCTTGTATTTGGCGCCATATTATGGAGGATTCTCAGCGAATTCTCAATAAATAACTAGGATGGCGATGTCTGCTGTCATTGTGTCCTTGGGCAAGACACTCAACACTCTAACATTCTACAACATGTCCCCCACTACCCCCCTCCCACTCAGTCTGTGCTCATGTGCTGTTGTTTACGGAGCTCGCGTCTCACAATATGGATCGCACATTTGAACGTGGATGGCGTGACCATAGAGTGATAGAACCAGGAAGCGCGGAGGAACTAGACTTTCTTCTGGATGGCTGTTTCGCTGAGTAAGCAGTAACCGGTAACAAAGACACGGGAAGTTTCAGGTTAGCCTCCGCCGCTCGTTTACCTCAGCTGTCTGTGCTAACGAGAGACCTGTGGCCTGTGGGGTCCAGAGTTCCACTGTGATTGGTCACAATCTGGTCTCGAAACAAATTCTCTTCCTTGTTGCACAAAAATTTAGTCTAAAATAAAATGACACACCAGCACAAACCGGTGCTAATTATTCTTCAAAAAGATGTATATCCCAATGGATTGCATGGATATGGATTGAATTTTCCTAATAAATAAATAAAAATAAAGTGAGGTAGTCCATTTAGTGGTAAATAGTAATTTAAATAAATAAATGTGCATTGAAACATTTGTATAGTAAGTAAATAATCAAAAATAATTGTCTGTTTTTATTTTAATTAACTATTCAAAGCCCTCCGAGGCGACTGCTGTTGGGATTTAGGGCTAAACAATAATACATTTAATTAAAATTGAATTTAATAAGAGAGCAAATGTGAGATGGGATCAATAAAAGTGCAGCATCTCAAAAGCCTAGCTAAAGATTGTTGTTGTAAAAATGTGTCTTTTCCAACTCACTCCCCCGGGTGATGTTCTCCTTTTAAACTGCAACGCATTTTCAGAATTGTAAAAACTTAGGCGTGTGTTCCTCCACATGTCTTCTGGTATTTATACTTACTTTATACTCCTCTCTTAACCTTGATAAAACTAGTTACTTCTTTTATCTATTTCAATGAATATTGGTTTAATACATTACCATAACGCTGAAAAATGTGTTTGGCAGCAGTCCATGAAAGGAGGTGTTCAAGGATCACTTCTGTTTCCTCATCTTGGGATGGCCATGAATTCTCAATGACAGTCGTGATCAATTTCATGTTAATGGTCATCCTCTCAAACAACTTGCCCTCTGTTTTGTTCTACCAAGGAGAAATGTGTATTTAAATATGTTGGTATATTTCATCCACTGTGGTCTCCTACCTGGCACATGAGAGTAACAGCCTCAACAGCGCATTTTTCAATAACTGAAGCAAGATATGGGAAAGAACATGACTCCTTTAAGCTTACACAGTAGTGTTCAATCTGATCTAAAGGAGGTTCCTGCAACCACAGAAAGATAAGTGAATAAGTGACAAAGATAAAAACAACAATAACACATGAATAATGTCTTTCATACTTTCTTATATTTTCCTTCAAAATCTTGTAATAAGCTTTTTCTCCATGCTGTGGTGCAATGACCATCTTTGAACTGGATTGAGATAATTTCATCCCACATCTATAAGGAAAGCAGACTGATTGGTATTATAGAACGCAACATTCTGAGCAGAGCCTTTTTAAACAGCAACTTACTTTGATCTCTTTTGACCCACTCACTTGACGATAAAACGAATATCCTCTGTTCATTAGGCTGTCGCGAAAGGATCGACTGATCCATTCTCTTGTGATGTTAAGAGCGGTGAGTACCAAGTCTCTCATGTGCTCCAGGTTTTTGTTCTCATCTGTCTCCTAAAGTAAACAATAATTCTGTCACAATACAGTTTATGTAAATTAAATGACAGGTACAGTGTGACATCATGGTCTGATTATGACGATCCACATTTTTACATGAATAAATGCATAGTATATCTACAGTATATGAAACATATCTCATATGTACCTGTGAATCTGAAGAGAAGACAAAGTCTGAGATTGAAGCCACCAGCTTCATGCAAGCAATAACAATGTCCGATAAGTTTGGGCCATATGGTGTTGGAGTGACTGCGCTGCAAATCTGATTCAGCAGAGTTATCACGGTCTTCATACAATCTCTTCCATAGTCCTCAGAAAAAAGACTAAAACAATGTTTCGACAATATTGTTAGTGTGTAATGATTTTTGATGTTTATTTTCATATGTTTATAAAGGTATACCTGAACTTTTCCTCAATAAGATTGTGTGTAATGTAAGTTATCATAGCCTGCAAAAGATTTGAAAACCCCGTTTCAGCTAGTTTGTGGTTCAAGAAGCCTGGAGCAAGGAATATGTAACTCTTACCCAAAAATGAGTGGAATTGATGACTTGTGGAATTTTGTCAACGTAAAGTTGAAGCAGAAGCAGTAGCTCAGGTTTCACAAAGTTGATGCACTCCAACATTTCATCAAGAGACATGAGGTATAAAAAGGACCTCACCAAAAGTGGGTCCACCTCTAACAGATGACTGTTCTTCCACAAAATATGTTGTATAGCTCTGAAATAAAAAGTTATTAATCAAAATAAGAATGTCACAAGGTCATTAGTTCTCATTAGAACATACTTTCTTTCTTGGCTGCTCAGGTTCTTGCAACCAACAACGCCATCCAAACCAGTCCATGATTGTAACGTCAAGTTTCCTGACAAGGTATTTTCAAATGGTTTAGTCCATCCTTTCAGAAGGTGAAACAGTGGTAGAACTAGAAACCAATCGGGCTTTTCCTCAGTTTTCACTGCATTTATGAGTGAGAGCAACAAATCTGGAAGCCTATAAACAAAGGTCAAACTGTAAAATACATGGCACGTATGAATCATAAATGAATTGTGAAAATCACCTTTTTAAAAAGCAGATTTCTTGAGAAAAGGTGGTCCAATATTGAACAAAGTCTTCCTTGTTTGAATTAGGGAGACACAATAGATGACAGAGTTGACAGCGTTCCTCATTTTTCAGTGTAATACCAAACTCTTTATGCACATAGACCATAACGACAGCTGACTTCAAAGGGTCTTTTCTCACATCTTTTTGTAACTGTGGCACTGCATTGTTTAGCATAATTTCCTTGAGCATATTCTTGACCTGAAATTTAAACCAGGATTAGCAAAGTCACAAAACATGTTAAAAAGTTCCAAATGTTAATGAAAAACGTACATGATCAGGACCATAACCCAAAGAGTGCTGTCCAAAGTGTGCCTTTTCTCGTTCCTCAAACACATGAAAAAACTGTTGCAACTGGGAGTGAAAATGTCTTAGATCCTCATCAGACCGGGTTTTGAGATCAAATATCATTTCCAACATTATTTTTCCAGCAATTTCTCTGCTTTGAAGTAGTTTATTCCGATTTTCAGGCCAGAATGCATTTTTGAGACGTTTTAGCATGTTTTTGGAGGGTCGAGCATAAATGATGTCATCGTATTGATACCAGTCCCCTTTAATCAGAAAAGAAACAGAAACCATCATTCAAATCATTCATGATTCAATAACTATATGAAAGATGTAGATTACCATCTTCACTGAGGAGTTGTGCTTTCACAACCAACCATCTGTTTGGAGGTTGGGAATCCAGTTTGTAGATGTGTTCATACTCATACTTTTGTTTTTTGTTTGTAAAAACAAAATACTTGTATGGTATAGACCCAGAGCATACTTCAGATTTTGGGACAGTCAAAGTGCCTCCAACAAGGAAACCATGGTCTCCAAGATCTCTGAGGACAAACGTGTTGCTTCCATGTTACCCATACTGTTTTAGTGAATAACATTTGTACAAGGGAAATAAATACTTAATAACACGGAGCTCAGCCAGATTTTCCTCAAAAGTTCCGAGACATTTTCCAGCACGGATGTAAAGGTGATCCTCATCAGGAATGAATTTAAAGTCCTTTGATAGAACAGCATGGAAATGTATTGTGAGTCTGTTATCTGGTGCAATAGTTGTGGTCCCAATTGGCCTAAAAAAAAAAAAAAAAAACAATAATGAAATAGTCAGCTATTGTAATATAATATAAATTGTAATATCTTCTTAGTGCATCACTTTTGGGGTTTCAGGGCTTTGTTTTCTGGGTTTGTTGGTGGGTCCACACTTGAGCCTGAAATTGTGGTCTGTGTAAAAGACAAATATAATGAAATAAAAAAATATGTTTCAATGAAATGAAATATATGTCACAAACCTCTGTAGAACTGTGTGGTCCAAAAACCATTTTCTGATTGGCACCTTTTGATTGTGCTTCATCTGACTTCTTCTGCTCCTGTTTTTGTTCTGTAGGCTTTTCAGAATGCTCTTCATTTGCATTTTGGTCAAGCGGTTGTTTATTGGGTTCTTGGGAGTTTTTTTCTTTTGTTTGTTTTTCTCCTTGGTCACTAGATTTGGTCCCTTTGCTGGAGTCAAGTGGTGGCATTTTGGAAGGATGTGTTTCAGTATTTTGTTTGGGTGTTTTTTTAGACTTTTTATCAACACTTGACTCGTTTCTCTGTGTCTGATCATCCTGTTTCTTCTGCTTTGCATTTCCTTTTACAGTGGAACTTGTTTCTGCATCAACAGCTTGTGTGTCTTCAGGTGCAACGACAGCCCCGTCATTGAGCGTATTTTGATTCACACTTTTGTCATTGTCGGCTCTTGGTTCATTTGTTGGGAGCTCCTTTTCTGTCTGGTTTTCATCTTTCCTTTTCTCCTGCGTGTTTCCTTGAGTCGGTTTGTCATTAGCATTTGATGCAGATGAAGCCTTCTTGTTTCGGGATTTCTTCTGCTTTTTGTTATTATTGCTTTGGTCCTTGATCTTGCTACTTTCGTTAGAATCCTGTAGAGCTTTGCCATGACTCTGAGTTTGGGTTTGGGTGTCATTTTGAGTACACTTCGTTGCATTTTCATTGACCACAGATACTTTTTCATTTTCTACTTGTGTCTCTTCAGTTTCAGCGACACTTGTATCATCTGGTTGACACTTTTTTTTTACTTCTGTAACTTCACTTGATGGGAGTGGATTTTCTGGACTTTTTAATACCACTTCAGAGCTTTGTTCACCACCTTCCATCTTCTGGTGTATGTTGCCAGTGACTGGCTTTCCTGAAGTGGACTGGTCGTCCAAAGATGAAAACGTTGTGGGGGTGAGTTTGGTATCTTTGTTGTCGTCAGTTGGAACAAGTGACAAATCTGATGGACTAGGATCTGTAGACCTATCTTCAACCTTTTTCTTTCGTTTTTTTCTTTTTTTCCTCTACACAATAACACACACAATCAGTGCACTTTCATGTTTAAAAGGTTGTAAAAAGATTTCATCTTACACCAATATTATAAAATGTTACTTCAAATGTACCTTTTTCTTTTGATGGGTGTCATCACTCAGGCGTTTTGTGAAGTTGTCATAGTTCTCTGTGGTGTTGTCAGTGGCAGCAGAATCTGGATCAAACATGACGTTATGACGTCAGATGTTATGGCTAATGATCAACAATGCACTTGACTAATAGAGAACGCACCACAGCACCCAAAGTTATAACACAATGTAGTGTAGAAGTTTTCTGTGGTCATACCAGCCATCATGCAGACATGTTTGATTGATTACATTATTGTTTTAAATCATTAATTTCATTTAGGAGAGTTAATCTAACACATAATAAACACATATATTCACCCTTCTGTCTTTAAATGCACCAGGACGCTGGCTGCAGCTTAAGATTTATATTTTATTTCTGACAAATATTGTAATATAACTTGATCAATATGAACGCTAAGTAATAATACAATCAGAGTATGATGGAAAATACTTATTAAATAGTTATTATCAAATGAAGCATGCACAAATTTTGTTTTGGGGACAAATGTGGTTTCCAGGTGAATGTGGGACCCACAAGAACCAATCAATCTACATTTGTATTGCACTTTCTAACAGCTCAAAGAGGTGCACAAAGAACTTCACAAAGGCAGTAAGAAACTAAATTTAAGTTTAGTTCAAAGTTTAAAACATATATAGGCTTGTCTAAACAGACAACTGAACATGATCTACTTAATGAACTCCAGGAAGAATCTCCAATGGGGAGATAAAAAGCAGGTGAAAGTTTATTTGATGAAACTCCCTCTAGTGGTTAAATTGTGAAGAGAAATGATGGACCCCCACCATTCTTACCTTGTGCCACAGCAGCTTGAGTTTGTAACTTATTACCACAGTTACTGCAGAATTTCGCCTTCTCCTCCAAAATGGTGTGTTGGCAGCCAGGGCACTTCATCTCTATAATGTTATCTGCAGGTTAAACAGAGCAAAACTACTGCATTTAATACATTTACCTCATGTGGAATGCCGTTTGTACATGACAATAGCATTGGCAAACAAACTGAAAACAAATATGTCAGCAGCATAACTACAGCACTGTGACGCACACTGTGTTAGGATCCAGCTCGTGTTGTTTTAGCTCCACGGTTGATGCAGACACACACTCAACACATGCGTACACACACACACACACACACACACACACACACACACACACACACACACACACACGTACGCACATTGATAAAAGATCCTTTTTGGGCAGGTGGAAGTGGACAAACTCACCTATTGCACCGATCATCACAACACTTCTTTCATTTCCGCCTCACATGAAGACTTCTTAAGTTTCGTTTCATCAGAATGGGAGTTCTCCTGGAGTTCTCTTCACATGCCCGAGTGTCACAATCACACCGTAAGTCCGGACTTTAATCGTCATTTTAATTTTGTCATCAGAATCCTTTTCTTCTTTATGAATATAACAAGCTTAATAACATAATTATGTCTATAAATATGTAACATGTCACCAAATCTATGTGATGATAATTGCCTTTTTACGTCATGTTACTTCTATGGCGTGTGCTGTGGTAATAACATAGAAATAACATAGAAATAAACAGTGTACTTTACGGTTACTACCAGTTTATTACTTTGTCCACACGGTGGCGCACTTGCGCCTTTGTTAAAGTCTGATTTGTGCCAAATAGCTCTTCTGTTTCGGCTTGTACGAGGCTGGGAAATAGTAAGGCAGGTGAAAAAACTGTTATTTTATTCTTTTTGATTTGGACATTAAAAAACGGTTTCCCCATTTTATGAAGTGTCTTGACAGTTAGGTCACAAATTGAGAATGTCTAACGACCTCTTAAGGATCTGCTTTCATAGAGACTACACCTTATCAGGCTGTATTATAACTTTTCTTAACTTATTATAACTTTATTATAACTTTCCCCTTTATGCATTATTGACATTCTCAATATTTTACAAATAAAGAGCCAAACGTTCCCATTAAATGTACTTTATTTGAAGTTTTGCACATAATTATATAATTATCAAAATAAATGCAGAGACACGAAGGCTACATTGCAAACTTATTTAAGTATATTATTTCATCTTACACGAATATTATAAAATGTTACTTCAAATGTACCTTTTTCTTTTGATGGGTGTCATCACTCAGGCATTTTGGAAAGTTGTCATGTTCTCTGTCGTAGTGTCAGTGGCAGCAGAATCTGGATCAAACATGACGTTATGACGTCAGATGTTATGACTAATGGTCAACAATGCACTTGACTTGTTAATAGAGAACGCACCACAGCACCCAAAGTTATAACACAATGTAGTGTAGAAGTTTTCTGTGGTCATACCAGCCATCATGCAGACAAAGTCATGTTTGATTAAATACCAGATGTTTTAAGTCATTAATTTAATTTAGGGAAGTTAATCCAACACATATATTCACCTACATATTATCCATTACATATTAATTGTAGAGTCATGAAGGCTACCAGATACACATTGTAAAATTATAAAAGTGTATTAATGCACACATTTAAAATCGTACATTAAAAAAAATCAGCAGAACATTGTTCTTGTTTTTTTTTTTTTTAACCACAGGAACATGTTGGGGTTTAGGTCCTCCTCATTTGGTCAGAACTGATTCTCTGTCAAAGCAGCAGTGGCCTGGAATTCACTACCTGCCTGTGTGGGTGTAGCTCACAGGGGCAGTTTAAACTTGGTGTAAAGAACTGGCTCAAAGATAATCAAGTCTGCAGTCATTAATCAGATGTACATAATTGTGTATTGTATACATTGTGTCTCTTTGTAGTTAGAGGTGTATTTTATCTATATTTCAAATGCTAACTCAGCCATTCTTTGCCACATTATTTACCCACGATGTAAATGATTTCTTTAGATCCGTTTTCAGGAAAGCGATGAGAGATGATCACACTCACTCAGCCCAAAGCGTTCAATAGTGACTCAGAGATTCAGAGAGAACATATTTTCCAACAAGATGCAGACAGATATACTATTTAAAAAATCAAAAGTTTAACACCCAGAATTTTAGTGACATCCATCAGGCTCCTCTTGGTGTCTGCAGTGAAATGTATTTTTTCCTCATCACTGCAATGCTCCAAGCTTAGCTCCACCTATCATCAGAATGTTACGACTTCAGCCGTGATTATGATACAGTTTAACCATGCCTAAGTGCTTTTTGTTATTTTGTGACACTTTTTTGGTCTTCAGGACCAACCCAAGCCAAAGTTATGTCAACCAAGCCTGCTACACCTTTTGTTAAATGCATAGTTGTCATTGCCCCTTTTTGTGTCTGGTTCAAGGTTAGATTGACCAATAAAAACAATGTTCAAGCAATTGAACACTGAGGTTGTAATCCAGTACAATGGAGTATGAAATGAATGCATGAATGAATGATAGAACTTATAACTGATGCTATGTTTTGGATGATTACCCAATATAAACAAATGTTGTCTTCAATTAGTTTCTGGTATTGTAGCTCCACAAAGTCAGCCCTGACAACAGGTTAATGCCCTGACGGTGCGGTCAGCATCACCTTTTGAAGAGTAACAACACCACTGAATAACATTATGTATCTATGAAAGAGGGGATGACAGTGGCCAACAGCATTGGTCTTTGGACCTAATGGTCATGGGTTTGATCCCACCATGACCCATCTCATTTGCTCCCACTGATGTCTGCTGTTGTTGGGTCCCTGAAGCCCCCGCTAAAACACCAAGGCCGTATCTTCCTTGAAGGAGCAGCATCTTCCTGTGGACCCACCACCTGCAGGAGGATCAGTGAGGGACTGGTGCTTTGGAAATTGAGTGCAGCTTTGATTGCCATCCCCCCTGACCCAGAAATTGATAAATAAAGGGATGGAAAAAATGAAATGAAATCTTTGAAAAAAAAAAAAAAAAAAACCTGGACAATAATGATTTATGCCAGAGGGTCCAGATAAATAATGCATCACTTTATAGGCATCTTTGACTTATTGACTTTTATTAAGTGGATAGATCTTGAACTGTAATAATCAGAACAGGAGCTCCGCTCTCTGTGGGGGACATACTCAATCAGTAGTGTGACACGGAGAGACAATGAATCACTCTTAAAGTGGCTCAAAGACAGCTCAGTCAGTTTCACTGCAGTTTCCTTTGGTCCATTTGCAATGCATTTGACAAATTATTATTGGGAAACAGTTTGTGCATCACAGACAAAATACAACAGTTTCTGTTGTGCATAAACAGTGTGCATTTAGCAGAGTGTGTTTTCTCAACTAAAAGAGGCACATATTTTTTACGAGCATTGTCCTTTGGCTTCATCGTCAACGATGACTTGTTTACAAATGGCAGAGGATCCTTTCAATGGCTGATTTTAGCAATGAATCATTTTCAGGACTCCGGAAAAACTGTCCCATTTGATGTGTCCAACAATGGCAGAAGAGACAGGAGGTATAATTCCAAAGCAGTGGAGAGAGGACAGGATGAAGGATGCATTCATGGAATAGAAATTCTGAAATTAAATTAGAGTGTTAAAATCAGTGTTCTCATAACTGTAATTGTTTTGTGTTATGTAATGCACTTTGAATTGTTGTCAGTGTATGTTTTATATTGAAGAGCCCTTATTTTATTTTTGGCACTTCCTGTTAAAAGTGTTCTATGCCTTTAACTTCCTGTTGCCGCTTTTATTGAGAGAAGCGTGAAACTTACAGCACGGATGTGCGCTCTTCACTTTGCAAATAAAGTGACAGAAAGATCATACGTGTCGGTGCCTCTTTAACCATGTCTGTGGAAGGAAATGCACAAGAGAACGCTGCAAACACAACAGGTTATGGGCCCAGGCGCGACAACGGAGGAAGATGGCAAAGGTTGGTGTTCAGCGGCGATGAAAATGACTACGAACTTTGGGAAGTACAATTTCTCGGCCACTTACGCATTATCGGGCTGAAGAATATTATACTCTCAACCACCGACCCTGATGCCGACAAAAATGCCGAATGTTATGCTGAACTCATTCAGTTTCTTGACGACACAAGTCTGTCCCTGGTCATGCGGGATGCAGCTGAGGATGGGAGGAAAGCCCTTAAAGACCTTATGCCGGGTTTAAAAAAAAACAAAATTGTGGATATCAAAATTGCATGACAATGTCGATCTGAAATAGATTCCGGCAAAAAAAATCCTATATTTCATAAAAAGAAAGTGTTTTTCATGAATTTAAGTTATGCTCTAACCTGTGTGTGACGTCACAGCGGGTAACGCCCATGCATTGAAAACCATGGATCTATGCCACAGGACTGCCTTTTCTCTCTTCTCTCCACTGATGCCCAACACAATACTGCACTCTACAGGTGACAATTGCTCATTACACATAAATTGCCGTTTTGAGAGTGAAAATGTGTCTGAGGTGGGATTTGAACCCCAGTATCTGAATTGAATAGTGATAAAAACAATGTAATAGATATATATACAGAAAAAGAGATTTGCAATAAATAGTTATTTCATAATTTACATAATATTTAAAAAAAACAAGATAAATATGGTTAAAGGTATGTTAAAATATCTACAGTTAATTCAGTATTTACATTTTGAGTTTTTACAGAAAAGATTGTTATCGACTAGTAAGCCTGAACAACAATGGAGCGATTGGTTTTGCCCACACCGACAGATAGGGGGGGGTTCGCGCTCTTTTCTCACTTGTATTAAACTCCTGCAAGAGGGAAACGCACCCAAATCACTCTCGTGGTTTTCTCCTTATTTCAGGTAAAAGGGACCAATTGTTGTAATTGTATCATATTCGTATTTGTTTATAAGACTTGTATTAAACTCCTGCAAGAGGGAAACGCACCCAAATCCTTATTTCAGGGGCGTAACACGCGCACGGTGGTGTAACAGTGATCCAGAGTGTTCTCCTCTCTGGTCGGGCATTTGATAAACTGTCTGTATTTGGGTAATTCCTGGCTCAAGTTTCCCTTATTAAAATCCCCCAGGATAATAATCAGAGAGTCCGGGTATAAACAATCCATACACAGTACTTGCTCTGCGAGTGCGCGCTGAGCCTCGCGCGCGTCCGCGCATGGCGGTATGTAAACAGAGGCAAGAATGAACGAAACAATTTCACGAGGGGAGTAAAATGGTTTACAGTGGATGAAAAGATATTCCAGAGCAGGACAGCAGTGCTTGGAGATCACTGTCACATCGTTACACCAGTTTGTATTGACGTAGAAACAAAGCCCACCGCCTCTGCTCTTGCCAAATGACTACGAACTTTGGGAAGTACAATTTCTCGGCCACT